TGTATGATGAATATCTAATGAGGAATATACCTTTACTTGACCACTGCACCATGAAAATGACGCCAAGGCCATTATTGTAATTGACAAATGAAAAAATACTCTGTGCAAACCATTCCACATATCAAATATCATGTATAGTTACTGAAGTACTGAAGAACTCACTCCATCCTGAAAACTTTACATGACAATTTGAACATGAAATGAGGTCAATGTCATACAGACATATACACAGGTCAACCAATCCACACACGTATAATGTAGATCTAGTATGTATAGTACTGATCGAGGAACAGTCTTCATCTTGAAATCTTAACCTGACCAGTGGGTCATGAAAATGAGGTCAAAGTCAGGTGACAATGGCCCGCTGACATGGTGCCATCATGAAAAACCTTCATAATAGTTTTGTCATGCTATGGGAAAGTGAGAAAAAGATATTGAGGTTATCTGCAAACTGCTGATGCTGCACCTATCACATAATGTTACCAACTATCATAAAAAGTATTGTAAAGATGCGTCTAGAGGAGTCTAACAGTGTTTAAAAAAAATTACCCCGGTACTGTGACCTATATTTTATGCTTCATTTTCTCTTATCACATTTTCAGGTAAACAAAAATCATATCACTAGGTGCATAACAGTGTCTACAAAAATGTAGGTCACTGTGACCAACATTTTACCTTCCATTGATTCTTATCAAGTTTTAAAATTCATTTCTTGACCTACATTTTAGTATTATTCACATTGAATTTCTAATTTTACCATTATAACCAATTCTTTAACCATATTTTATTTACTAAGCCAAATCTGGTGCGGTTTACTTACTTAAGGATGTTCGCTACCCTCCTCTCTTTCAAAATAACAAGCTTTTTAAAAGACTGTTATAAATTAATAGTATATAAATAATTTGGAACTAAAAAAAGCATAAAAAAATGAAGGGTCCGTGACCTTGTTTTTGAAATATAAGCCATTGAAAAATTGGTGGGAAATGATTCTCTCTACATTTTTCATACATTTAACATTGGCACCTTTTTCCTTTCAAAAACTATGAAAAAATAACTAGGATTTTATAAGACTTTCAAATATGGCTTTTAAAACTATATGTAATAAAATTATGAAAAGAAAAGTAGGAGTTAGCGGGCCAAATATTTATTGGCACTACATGGATAAAACCAGAGGATTCCGAATATCTGTCAATAATTCAAAATCAAGAGGAGCAAACATCATTAATTACAAAGAAATCTATTTACATCAATATAAATAAGAAGATGTGGTATGAGTGCCAATGAGACAACTCTCCATCCAAGTCACAATGTAGGCAAAGTTAACAATTATATGTCAAAGTACGGCCTTCAACACAGAGCCTTGGCTCAAACCGAACAGCAAGCTATAGAGGGCCACAAAATGACGTGTAAAATAATTCAAACAGGAAAACCAACGGTCTAATCTATATAAAAAACAAGAAATGAGAAACACCTATGAATCACACCAACAAACGACAACCACTGAACAACAGGCTTCTGACTTAGGACAGGTGAATAAAAATGCAGCGGGTTTAAACGTTTTAACAGGCACCAACCTTCACCCTAACCTGAGACAGTAGTGTGACAATACAACATAAAAAGACACACTATAAAATATCAATTGAAATGGCTTAACTCGATCAAAAAGACTTTTAAACAAAAACAAGTAAACATACACTGAACGAATAAGTTTGATCTATGACACAATATAAATACACTATTAAAACGTAGGTGCCTATATAACATAAGACGTTATAGGTAGTAATAAAAAAGATGTAGGAAGAGTGTCAATAAGACAACTCTTACCTTGGACAAAGGGGCGTTAAATAAAACAACGTACACAGGTAAATTTAAATACAATAATTTTGTGGTTAAATCAAATCTATTTTCTATCAATTTCAAATACAATTCTTAAAAACATAAATACTTACAGTTTTGTATCTTCCTGATCAAAATCTTTATTTATCTGAAATTCTAATCAAATTCAGTAGATTTGTATAAATTTAAGAATATAAATTCTCATCATATTTAGGGTGATAAACACTATAAATGGTTGTCAGTCATTCTATTTACTTAACTATTTTATATTCTAAAATGTAATATGTAATTTTAATATAATAATTATTTGTAGTACATCAGGTTACTAGCTATCATAACGCTCGTTCCTTTTCTTTGGTACCAATTTTTACACCAAAACCATTTTTAATAATAAATTTAGGTGAAACTTTATTGATTAATTAGATCAAATAAAAATGCACTTAATACATACAGACATCAGTAATCCTGGTAATAAAGACAGAAGACTTTACTGACCCAGAGCAACAAAACACTTTTAAAGGTGAAGAATTTTATCTACTTTCAAAGAGCCGAAATGTAATTACCAGAAAACCTAATTTTAGATCATTCCCTTGGCACCATTATCAAATAATCGATACCCTTATTACATTCTCTTTTATAATTATATAATTCCACTATGGCATAATAAAATAGTTTTTTGTACGATTATCTATAAAGAATAAACATAAGCACAGCATTACTGATATTTCAATAAAACATATTTACAGGCCAATACAGGGTGTATTTCAATGAATGCCACAAAAAACACTGAACAATAAAACTTATCTGGTTTTCAGATATTTATAATCAATATCTTTTAAAACTAACATAAAAGAAATGCTTAGTAGTATTCAATTTCAACAAAACATCAATTCATAATTTTTTTTATTCATTTTGGCAAAAATATGATTTCATAACATAACATAATATAATAACAGATGCCATGAGATTTACATGTAGTGTAGATGAAGTTCTTTATAACAATTCAACTGTTATATAACCATAATTACATTACAGTTTTTGATAATTTTCCAAACCTTAAAGATTGGTAATTTTTCTCATTAATGATGGTATCTAATTAATATTTACTGCAGAAATGTGCATATAACATAGTACAGCAAGATGTAGAATAAGACATGTTTTGGATAAATGTAGAAGAAATCACACAAAAATTTCAATTCATAATATGACGGGGGGCATCAACAATTTTGATATCTTTTCAGTTTCTCCATAGAGCAACAAAATGGCATTAGGTAACCAAACATTTTCATCAGCTGGTCAACAATGGCATAATATTGAAATAAATGCTAACAATAATTTCTTAGTTTCTTTAATTTCGTTAAGTAATAACTCAATCTGTATTTGATACAATTAAATCAACCCCACGTATCATATCTTGCACTTTTCATTCTCAAACAAAAAAATAGAAAGCAATATTCTGATAAAGTCAATGCGAGAAAGGTTTTTCATTCACTATACATTAATGAATATATCTAATCTATTAAGAAGATTTGACTATTGTTGTTTATAATTAAGCTTTTGCTCTGCTAGATAGGGATATAATTAACTAATTCACACTATCACCAAACTGACCATCCTACATCTCTTTATGTGTCAACTGGGATTAGCACACAAGGATTAAGACTTAATGGAAGATAGAAGTTCAATAGACTGGCATGTGATGAAACCCACAGTTTTAAGTTGGGATGTATTAGTAGAACCCAAATCTGATTAACAATGTGTAAGAACTGGTTAGAAAAAAGAGTTGTGTGTATGTCATAACTGCCAGATTTTGAAAATCTCCATGGGGGATTTAAAGCAAATGATGACCTTTAACAGATCTCTTATCAGCCATGAGTGTTTTAAATCTTGTATACTAACTAATGTTTTGAGTAAACATGTTCAAAAATGTCATTTTAACTCCTTTGAATAGAATATAGAAATTGAAATGGGAAATGTGTCAAAGAGACAAAAACCTGACCAAAGAGCAGAAAACAGCCCAATGAATGCCTGTTTTGAGGTATTCATTTATATAATGGAAGATTTCACAAGTCAGGTGGACACCTCTCATTGAGGGAGAAATCTATAAATAAGGAATGTTAGTAGGTCTGTTGCATGCATAAATACTGGCTCTGTCTGCCATGTTGAATTTGTGGTCCGCACTATTTACCTCAAAAAAATTTCAACCAAATTTGCTTTACTTCAAATATGAGTTATCAACAGTAACCACTTTAAAATATTTTGCAAACCAAATAGAGTTAGAGCATGTCAACATTTCTTATTATTCATTAAGCACTGACATGTTGTTTTAAATTCAAAATCACAAATAAAATTTGGCCCTTCTTGCAACAGATATGTTTATAACTCTACACTCAGTTTAATATTCTTCAATCAAGACAAAAGGTTCATTACTTACAGAAAATATAGCAAATGTCAGGTCATATTAAAGACTCTCTGTTTTAAATACATAAACTAGTTAATATGGAAATTCCTAACATATGTATGTCCACAAAGCAAAATTCCTCTCATCAAAGAACACCAGGTGAAAATGTATGCAAAGCTTTTGATTTGACAAGCTGGTAGAGTTATAGATAATTAACAATTAAGAGCTAACAACATAAATGTTTAATATTGTTGATTAAATAAGTCATTTTTTCTACAGTTAGGTGCCATAACTTCATATAAATAATTTCTTCAAATGCTGAAAGCAATATACTGTAGATTCATTATTATTCGTTGGATACCAATGTTCACCAATGTTCGTGGATTTTTCTGTATAGGTTAAACCACTATTTCAAATGTTCAACAAAGTACAAGTTTTCAATAGGGTTTGTATGCAGGCTTTTGCAAAACCATGTATTCCAATATCCACAGAAATACAAGTTTTTCTCAATCCACGAAAAATAAATGAATCCACAGTACGATTATGTCAGCTTGCGAAAGCAAGACAGACATAAGAAATATTTCTATCTAAAAATACTTCTCAATATTGTTTCTTTAATCTATAAGCCTGTCTTTTCAAATTTATCAATGAACAATTTTCTCTCATTTTTAAGTTACATTTAGCCAATATTTTGCTTTGAAATAAAAAAAAAACAAAAATAAAAACAAAACACCAAAACCTAGCTAATTACTGTAATACATACCTGCAGCAGATGATGATAAAGTTCCAGCTGACCAAGACTGATCTTTACACCTCTTGACCATTAAACCACTATCTAGTGTGTTATCCTTAATGTAAAAGTAATCATTTCATCAGAAAACAACAACACTGTCATTCTCAAGTCAATTATTCTTATAAATCATTCTAATTTATTGAGGATTTACCAAAATATTTAGATAAAATATTACAATTATTAGCATAGGATTATCCATTCTATAATCTAGATTGCTATAAAAATATGAGTAAGATCTTTGAATAATTTATGAAGAAAGAATTAGATTTTTATCAATAAATATATAAATACAAGATATCATAATGTTAACAGTAATTAAACAACTGTATCTGTTCAGGTTGATTTGATTGAAGATATAATGTACTGCACTGTACAAAACATGAAAAATTGTTGTTGAATGTCTTCTGGGTATAAATATTTGTCATATAGTTAATTATTAATAAAAATCTGCCCACTGTTTCTGCCTTTAAAAAGAAACTGACTAATCAAATTTAATGTCTCATTTTAAAAAAAGAACTATGTTTGTAAATGGTTAAGTATTTCTCCTGCTTGGGGACAAAATAACTGAAAATCGACAAAATAACTGAAAATCTTTGACACTGATCAAGGACATACATTCTAGATATAAGTCCATGCTAAGATCAGGATTTCAGTGACTAAATTACTATAAAAGCCTTTTGACATTAAAAAAATAAATTTGTTTTGTTAAAAAAGTAGTTTCATCCTTAAAATGCTTAAAAACAAAAAACAAAAAACATTTTGCATAATATAATATACGTTAATCTTCAATGACCAATTTACACACACAATGGTTCATTATCTCAGAAAATGTTATCATATTTCAGACCCCTATTCATGAGAAGGGGGACTTCAAATTTTTTTTTACCCTAGTGTGATATTCCACTTTGAGCACATTCATTCTTTTTTAAGTCCATATGAACCAATATTAACCAACTCCATATTCTTATAATTTGATTGATTGATTGTTGGTGATTAACGGCATATTTAATATTCTGACCATGGCTATTTCATGGTCAGTCATTTTTATTGGTGGAGGAAGCCTACTACTCAGTGAGAATTACTGATCATTGCTGACCTTTAGCAGCAAAACTGGCAACATTATTCAATTAAAATCAGAATCTGATGTATCATGCCACAAACAAGGTTCGACCTCAACTCAGTGTTGATGATAGCTAGTGATCACTGTACCACTCGACCACTGTGGCCCCTATTTTTATAATTGACATGCCACCAAAATTAATCATTGAGTGTAGCAAGGCCTACCGGGTAAATTAAAAATCTTATCTCTTTATCTTAAATTTCAGTTGAAGTAGTTTAGACACTTCCCAGCAATATCAATGTCTTATCCCTTCATTTCAAAACATGTAGTATAATGTTATACATATTTTTTTCTATCTTATTACTTACAATGTTTAAGAACAAATTCAGGTTCTTGTCTTGTCTAAATGAACAGATAATAGTTAATGATGAAATGTGTTATTCAATCAGATAGTATAATGTAATTTCAAACCAAATGTCACGTTGCCACATTTAATAGACAAATAAATATTCTTTTTTTTTATCCAGCTAATAAGTGCTTGGTTATTTAAACTTTACACTTATTCAGAAAATTTTAAATTTCTCAAGTTTTTATTTTGAAGAAATTTTTGAAAAAAATCTTTTTTCTCATTATATCAATAACTAAAGCTCTTGATTTTAAAATATACAATATACTTACATTTGAGGGAAATCAATCTAACTCAAACATTCATTCATTCCAAATTATCAATGTAGATTTGCACTGCAAGAGATTTGAATTAGCAGGTAATATTCAATTATCTCCCTTTAGATATGATCAAGTAAGCAGACACGACTACCATGCTTCATTACATAGTCATGATGGCTTCTACACCTGTGATATAACAATGGAATACAAACAAATCATGCAAAATTGTGCAAAGGTTAAAACTATTCAGTGAAGGTGTATCCTACATTCATAGTGAAACTCTGAGTGAACTGGACTATTTCCAAAATATTAAATACTCGTACTGAGAAAATATGAAACCATGTAATTCAAATTAGTGAAAGAAACTAAATCACTATGTTTGATATTGAAAATATTTTTATTAGTGCATAACATCAGTTTTTTTTGCATCAAAATCTTTATGCTCAGTTCCTGCTCAGATTAATCTAACAATGACAATACTTGTTTGTATGAATAAAAGGAATGTGATTATGTAAGGTAAATACCAATGGGACAGCATTTCTAAAATAAATATGAATAGTTTTATCTTTTCAGGAATTTGACTGCAGTCCTCTGGTGCTTTACTTTAGCATATAAAATTGGGTTTACCAAGTAATTTGTTTGGCTATACCAATTCAGACTCTATATAGACAACCTGACATTTCTTCTTTGTTCAGACATCCTTACCATACTGAAAGTTATGGTACGAATACAGAATATCTTAAGAATGGACCTCATTACAATATGAAGTCAAAGGAACATGCCCCTCTTACATAAAACAATCCTTAATAAGTTAACTGTTATAATGTCAATGTTGATTCAGAATTATAACGAAGATTTACTTATCAATTCTTATATATAAAGGCAAACAATCGTAAAAGGTTTGTATTGATTGTCACGATCAGAAATATGAAGACAATTCAGCTGGTATTAACTTTTTACTATAAATAAAATTGTATTCTATATTTTGACAATGGTTGAACCATTTTATCCTATTACATAATGTTTGTATTTCCCATTCATAAACCTTTTTGTGTGTTTACCTACTTAGAAGAAGTATAGTATAGGCGAACACTTGTCTATTCTTGAAGACCATGTGTTGACCTCTTGATGATCTTTGTTGTTTGCATTGTTGGGTTGCTGTCACATTAATACATATCTCATATCTCCTTAAAACATAAACATAAAAAAATATGTTGGTCCTTTAAGGAAATTCATATCAAAAGTTAAACTGTATAACTGAACTGATCTCTTTTTTATTCATATGTAAAATGACACATAGATTATAAAGATAGTTTGAAGAAGTTTCCTGTTAACATCATGTGCAACTCTTATCAGACTGCCTTTAATCTGAAGTATGACAAAAATTAACAGATATTTAAACAAAGGATATTTTCCTGGCAGTGATATCTGCCAATATAAATTAAGGTAACCCAATGATTCTCTTGACCTTCCAAATACAAATCCAATTATATTTGCAATACATTTTCTAAGACATGAAGTATCATCTTGAATTCAATAGGTAATCATGAAATAGATGACACAGTTTGTAAACATGAAACTTGGATATGCAGTGTAACACAATAAGATTGAAACCTTAATTACAAACTTGCTTGAAACATCCAAAGATTTTGAACAATCATACAAAAAATCATCAATGAACACATGGAAGTAAAATGAAATATAATACTTCCATGATGAACCCAACAAGGCACTGCAGAGTGGAGCATTAATAATATTACCAACAGTTTTCTTTTAAACCATTTTGTTATACTGACATTTAATAAAAACTGATTTGGACCCTAAAATGATAAGTACATGAAATGGCCATCAAAACTCAACTGAGATTTTAACTGAAAAATACTACAAAGTCAAGCATCTTTTTGCAATCAGTGTTTTCTATAAAACCATATTCTTATTCATGTACTAAATATATCACCTTCAACTCTTTCACTGCTTATTCAATCTTAATTTACAGAGCCTTTATGAGCTCTAAATTGGATTATAGACCACTATACAAGCTTATCTAATCTGTTTTTACTCTACTTATTTGGAATAGCATCTCATCACTCTCATGCATATTATCCCCTTATCTTTTCATATATATAAACAGAAGACCTCCCAGGGATGTTTGAGATGAGAAAAATCAAGGTATTGGAATTTGTAAAACAGAAAGTAGCTAGGTCTCCGACAGATTCTATAAGTGTGCACATTATTATACAAATATAATGTAAATTGTTAAGTGTGCACACTTAAAGAATATACAACTGCCAAGTTGTTGACTTGAAATATGAAATCATTCTGTTCAGTAGCACATGAGAAAAGTATGCCGAATCATAATCAGTTCATCCAAGATACTGAAAAATTCTGAAAATCAGCCAACAGGAGTAGATGTCGGACCAATCCCAAGAGAGCTCACACGTTACTACTCGATCATCACTGTCAAGCTCCAACCAAATACAAAGTCATTTTGTTCTGTAGTACCTGAGAAAAGCATGACAGGATATTAGTTAAATGAACAATATACAGTAAAGACGAATGCAAAATAGCCTCCACTTCTAGAGTGGGGTTTAAAATTGATATGCATGTAATATTTTATATAACTTTATTGTTATCAGTCTATTAATTAAAGGGGAAATTATTCATACTTTCCATTCTTTAAAATGTTCTGCCTTTATGAAAACTTTGTTTTCATCCGTTTCATGGTTCTAAAATCTTTCATTATGCAAAACTAAATGTTACAAACAAAATTTTTTTAATAGAAATTAATATTCTCAAAATCACAATTACCACATCAGCACCAATTTATATACATTTATCAACAAATTATATAATTACAAAAACCTCCAAATTAACGGTATAGTTTTATAAATATATTCTAAAAAACACAATTATTATGAAAAAAGCACCACTTTACAGATCATTTATAATATACATAATGACATATCAGCAGCAAAATCATTGTTTACTGCTTCTACCCAAATACAATTACACCAAAAATATATGTATGTTTCGTACTTATTTTCATGCAAGTTGATGACAGAAGCTTTCTAAAAGTACAAAAAACAATGTATTTCTTCATTCTGCCTGTCATATGGATTCTAACAACTTGTTTTTTTTTGTAAAGGCTGCTATAACCAAGGAACCATTGATTTAACATTCTAAATTTTTTTTTAAATCCCCCAATTTGTAAAATATTCAAAATCAACTGCACTTATCTCCCTTTCTATACTAACTAATTTTAATTCTGAAAAATTTATTACAACAAGATATTAAATATATAAATATAAAATTTCAAACTACAAAAAAATAATGTGCATAATACAGAATACCGGTTAATATGTAAAATACTAAATTCAATGCCTATAATTTACTAATAATCTAAATATTACACCAATGTAAAAAAAAAAATCATAGGAGTTGAAAAAGAGAGGCAAAAGATACCAGAGGGACATTCAAACTCATAAGTCGAAAATAAGCTGACAACGCCATTGCTAAAAAAGAAAAAGACCAACAGACAAACAACAGTACTCAAAACACAACATAGAAAACTAAAGACTGAGCAACACGAACCCCACCAAAAACTGGGGGTGATCTCAGGTGCCCCAGAAGGGTAAGCAGATCCTGCTCCACATGTGGCACCCGTCGTGTTGCTCATAAAAGTTCAAACCTGGTAATAAGTCTTATTCGATAGGTCACATTCAGGAAAAGGGGGGACAGGATTGTAGTTACGACATAAGGAATATATCCACTATCATCTGTGAAACGGATATTCCATAACAATCAACCAATTCGTGATGGCGTCCGTAAAACTTACAAATGGGATGATTTCGACTTCACCACTTGGAACTCTTGATTTAATAGCTTCCCTGTGAGCAGCAACCCTCTATAAAGGAAATCATGATAGGAAATACAAGCCCTGGAATATTGAAAATAGTAGACTCGCAATAATGGATGTCAATTTATGTCTCGCTGAAATAAACTGTTGAAATAAAGATATTTCTCAACTATATGTAATTTAAAAGTATGATCAACATGGCAACAGTTTAATGTAAACTATGCATTAACTTAATATTGTAAGCAGACATAATTACAATTAAGCTTTAACATTTAAATCATGCAAAAGTTTCAAAGTCAATAGATGATAAATGGGGGTAGGCCCAATTAATCTCCATAAAAGTGAGATGTCACCTCAGCCTGAAGCAGCGTGCCTATAGACAAAAATTAGACATGTTATCAGGCTGGCAAACCCAAACAAAAAATTCTCTTCTTCTAACAATATATTGAAATGTGGTTTTTTTTTTCTTCTTCAAAACTAATGAAAAATATATCACAATTAAGAACATTTATCAGAATTTTAATAATCAGTTTTTATATGGCAGATTCACTGTTCAAAAGTCCTGATCCTTCAAGACCAACTGTACAGGAGTTGTCAGAAGCAGACTTGTGTAAACTAGTTTGTCCAAAGCTTCTTTCAAATGCTTGTTTAAATTCAATTTCCATACTCTCCATCAAACTCACAGCAGACAAATTCAAATTGCTTCCTAAAGTTTCAGAAGTAATAAAACTAATTCTGTCAACTGATGACATGTCACCTGTTCGTGTTTTGTTCGTTTGGAAATCACAATTAATTGTTTCAATCTCCTTCACATTGAATTCCATCTCCATGATGAAAATAGAATTATCATGAGATTCTTCATGGATTTCAGCATGGCAAGTGTTAGTGAGATCAATGCTAGCATTTCTTTTTTCTTGAATGACAGCACTATGAACAAGATCAGGCAGATTGGTTGTCAATGACAACCTAGATTTTCCAAATTCTTTGAATCTTGCATGTAAACTTTGTTTTTTCTTTTTATTATGACCATGAAATTTAGACATTACATGTTCATGATTTTCGCCAATGTTATGATTCACATCTAATGCTGGTGATATAAATTCAAAGCTGTTTGTTTCATTTTGCTGATGAGTACAGCAACTATGTCCGAAAGTATCATAGGCTCTTTCAACAATGTCATGCCAACTTGATCTTTGGAAATTAACAGATTGTGTAGTTACATATACCATTAAAAAACACATACAAAATTCGACCAATCGTAAAAGAAACTGGTAAGAAAAATAAGGCCATGGTTCAGGAGAATGGTTATCTATCTGAATCTTATATACACCAAATATTCCATATATTTCGAGCAGAATACATACCAGTCCAAGAATTGCTGCTATCAGAGTAATTTTTACTGAGGTATTCAAATTATATTTTTTCTTTTTCCCTCTCTTTATTTTTCTAGAAGTATAGTCACTTGAAACAGATATAACATTCTTTCTTATAGCCATTCTTCTATTTTGATAGGTATATCTGTCTGTGTGTCCTCTGTGAATGGAAATTTTTGAACGATTTATTGCTGCTTTTCTTAATTTTGTGAATATGTATAAAAATCCAGTAAATAAAATAGTTCCCCATATAATATAGAAAAGCTGACAGATTAGCATTAGTACCTGAGCTCTAGCAAATAAGCCAACAACAACATCAGTAACGATTGACAACCCAAAATGAAAAGTAATTATTCCAATGAGAACCGAAAGTTTCTGTATTTTTGTTGAAAGCACCTGGACTTTTGTTGCTAGTAACAATGCATAAAACAAGATACAAAAAGCAGATGTCAAACATGGAAATGCTGTACTGTAAAGAAAGTAATTCAATATTATCGGAAATGTCTCATTTTTGTTCTGTGCATCAATCAATAGATATAATCCCCTCAAGAAGGCTATGATGGCAATCAAAATATTCAACATCACAAAGTAATTCCTACTGAATAAATGTTGCATTGGTAGTAAACGAACAATATTAAATACATTGTAAGATCCAAGTAAAAGGAACATTATTCCAAACAAATAAACCAAAAAATCCCATCCCCATTTGTACTGTGTCATTGCAACATTCCAATCTGGAATAGGCTCAGCAAAGTGACCTTTAGGTTCAAAATCTGGTACTAATTCATCTTCCGGAGTTGGTTCTTGTACTGATTCACCTTCAGGAATAAATTCTGGTTCTGATTCACCTTCAAGGGTGGATTCTGGTACTGATTCACCATCATGAAATGATTCTGGTATGGATTCAACTTCAGGAATTGATTCTGGTACTGCTTTACTTTCAGAAATGGATTTAGGTACTGATTCACCTTTAAGAAAGGATTCTGGCAATGATTCACCTTCAGGAGTGGATTCTGGCAATGATTCACCTTCAGGAATGGATTCTTGTATTGATTCACCTTCAGGAATAGATTTGGGTATTGATTCACCATCATGAATGGATTCTGGTAATGATTCACCTTCAGGAGTGGATTCTGGCACTGATTCACCTTCAAGACTGGATTCTGGTACTGATTCACCTTCAAGAATAGATTCCGGTACTGAATCCCCTTCAAGATTTGATTCTGGTACTAATTCAACTTCAGAGGTGGATTCTGGTATGGATTCAACTTCAGGAGTGGATTCTGGTACTGATTCATCATCAGGAATTGTTTTTGGTAGTGCTTGACCTTCAGAAATGGATTCTGGTACTAATGTATCTTCAAGAAATAATTCTGGTAATGGTTCACCTTCAGGAATGGATTCTGGTACTGCTTTACTTTCAGAAATGGATTTTGGTACTGATTCACCTTTAAGAAAGGATTCTGGCAATGATTCACCTTCAGGAGTGGATTCTGGCAATGATTCACCTTCAGGAATGGATTCTTGTATTGATTCACCTTCAGGAATAGATTTGGGTATTGATTCACCATCATGAATGGATTCTGGTAATGATTCACCTTCAGGAGTGGATTCTGGCACTGATTCACCTTCAAGACTGGATTCTGGTACTGATTCACCTTCAAGAATAGATTCTGGTACTGAATCCCCTTTAAGATTTGATTCTGGTACTAATTCAACTTCAGAAGTGGATTCTGGTATGGATTCAACTTCAGGAGTGGATTCTGGTACTGATTCATCATCAGGAATTGTTTTTGGTAGTGCTTGACCTTCAGAAATGGATTCTGGTACTAATGTATCTTCAAGAAATAATTCTGGTAGTGGTTCACCTTCAGGAATGGATTCTGGTACTGCTTTACTTTCAGAAATGGATTTTGGTACTGATTCACCTTTAAGAAAGGATTCTGGCAATGATTCACCTTCAGGAGTGGATTCTGGTACTGATTCATCATCAGGAATTGTTTTTGGTACTGCTTGACCTTCAGACATGGATTCTGGTACTAATGTACCTTCAAGAAATGATTCTGGTAATGGTTCACCTTCAGGAATGGATTCTGGTACTGATTTGCCTTCAGGAATGGATTCTGGTACTGATTCAACTTCAGGAGTGGATTCTGATACTAGTTCAATATCAGGAATTGATTTTGATACCGATTCACCAGCAGGAATGGATCTAAGTATGGATTCAAATTCAGGAATGGATTCTGGTACATATTCACCTTCAGGAATGGATTCTGGTAGAGATTTACCACCAGGAGTGATTTCTGGTACAGATTTACTTTCAGGAGTGAATTCTGGTATGGATTTATCTTCAGGAGTGGATTGTGGTACAGATTTACCATCAGGAGTGGATTCTGGTACAGATTTACTATCAGGAGTGGGTTCTGGTACAGATTTACTTTCAGGAGTGAATTCTGGTATGGATTTACCTTCAGGAATGAATTCTGGTATGGATTTACCTTCAGGAGAATATTCTGGTATGGATTTACCTTCAGGAGTGGATTCCAGTACTGATTCATTACCAGGAATTGATTCTGGTACGGCTAGACCTTCAGAAATGAATTCTGGTATTAATTCACCTTCAAGAGTGGATTCTGGTACTGATGCCCCTTCAGAAGTAGATTCTGGTATATATTCATCTTCAGGAATGGATTCTGGTACAAATTCATCTTCAGGAATGGATTCTGGTACAGATTTACCTTCCGGAGTGAATTTTTGTATGGATTTACCTTCAGGAGAGGATTCTGGTATGGATTTACCTTCAGGAATGGATTTTGGTATGGATTTACCTTTAAGAGTGGATTCTGGGACAGATGTCTCTTCAGAAACAGGTTCTTCTGGCTTAATTTCACCAGTGAGTTCTTCTGTATCATATTCTGCTTCTTCTTCAAAAGTAGGTCCTTGTTCTGCTTCAGGAGTGTGTCCTAGTTTTATCTTGTTTTCTATAACAGCTTCCTGTCCATCTTCTGTAATGGCTTTTGATTCTGCTTCACTTTCTGAGGTAGGTCCTAATTCACCTTCAAGAGGCACTGCCTTGCCTTCATTATTGATTTCTTGTACTTCTTCACTCTGAGGAGTTTCATTTGTAGGTTCTGGTTCTGATTTACTCTGCATGGATTCAGTTACTTGCAGTACTTCCAGTATTGAATCATAAATTTGTTTGAATGTAATTTCAGATGCAGCTATTGATGCAGAATTAGAAACATCCATTAAATCTTGACCTATTTCATGTTCAGACCTTCTACCAGTTCCTGAAGTGTCTAGTTCTGATTTATGGATTGCTGCTCTGATAAACCGTGTAAAAATAGCATTTTTTTCTGACAAGGAGTGATAAGAGTATACATTCTGTCCAAGTCCACTACATAAAGACAGGAGAGTTAGTCCAAAAAGTCTTACATACCACATTGTTAAGCATTACTATGCCACTGAATGACTAAACCAATACTGTACTTTATTTCCTTGTCAATGTATTTTGTCCTTTCTCAGGTATAACAGCAATATCAGGGTACAATCCACAGCAGGGTTGCATCTGTCTTCATCTGAAAGTATTTAAAAATAAAATAAAATTTCTTGTGTATATATGTAAACATTTTTCTTGGATTTGTTTTATTTCAACTTAAAATAAATGTGGATTGTGTCCGGGACGGTAAAAGTGATGCTACCCAAATTTTGAACTTGATCTGAGTTTTCTGGTAATAAGCATTGTGTGTAAGTCTCATAAAATTTGGTTGAGGCAAACTTAAGTAGTGAACAGAAACTAGCAATTTTTCTTTTTGTAAACACGCAGAACTCTAGAATGGTTGTGTATAAGTTTTATAACATTTGTTTGAGACAAATTAAAGTTAGAGAATGGAAACGAAAAATTCAGCAATTTTTCTGTTTATAAAGGGACATAACCCAAGAATGGTAAAAGTGATGCCACCAAATTTCGTATTTAATCTGTATTATGTAGTAATAAGCATTGTGTATAAGTTTCATTACATTTGGTGGAGGCAAACTTAAGTTAGAAAACGGAAACAAAAAATTTGTACTTGATCTTAGTTTTGTGGTAATGAATATTGTGTATAGGTTTCATAATGTTTGGTTGGGGCAAACTTAAGTTACAGAATGGAAACTAAAAATTTTGCAATCTTTTCGATTTATAAAGGGGCATAACTCAATAATGGTTAAAGTGACACTACCCAAATTCAACTTGATCTGTATTTTATCAGTGGAAGGCAAAATTAAACATTGCATTGTATAAAGCATTGATTGTAGTTGATTCAACTATAATCATGAACAAAGGAAGATAACTCCAATTTCAAAAATTACTTGAATAATGACATTGATATTTTTAGAAATTACATTTAGTTACCGGTAAGACAAACTCAAGTTAGAGAACGCTTTAATTTATCAGTGGAAGGCAAAATTAAACATAGCATTGAGGGGCCTGATGGGTTATTTTCGTTCTTCGTGATCGGCGCATTTTCGCTATCATGATCCGTTTTTCTACAGATTTTTTTTTTTTTTATATTTTCGTGATCCGTGATCATGGAAATTTATTTTCTGTGAATCGTGATTGACAAAAAAATCAACTCGTGAATCGTGATGAGACCCCCCATCAGGCCCCTCAGCATTGTATAAAGCATTGATTTTAGTTGATTCAACTATAATCATGGACAAAGGAAATAACTCCAATTTTAAAAATTAATTGATATTTAGGGGGAAAAAATTCACACTTGATCTGTATTTAGTGGTAATAAACATTATGTGTAAGTTTCAAAATATTTGGTTGAGGCAAACTAAAGTTAGAGAACAGAAACCAACTTTGGGACGTACGTACGGACAGACGTACAGATGGACAAGGATAAAACTTATTGCCCCCTCCGCTACGGCGGTGGCATAAAAAGAACATGAAAAGATTCCATCAGTTTGAAGCAGATCATGCAGACTTGCCGATTTTTCTAATATTTAGCCTCCCAACCAACCAAAATGGCTGCTAAATATTGATTTAAACCTTAATTATGTAATCAGTATCTTCTATAGATTTGATTTCCAGTAGTTAAAAGAGTTAAAAATAATTTCTTGTTGATGTATCAAGGGCAACAATCTACATTTATTTGCTATAAAATATTGCAAAAAGGGGTGCCAAGATGTCACATTATTTCTCCAAAATTTGGCCTAAAGTGGAATTTCAATCCCCTGGAATGATACCTTTTCTGAAATTATTTAAAGGTATCAATCAAGATATATCTTTCGTCTCATTTTTTCATAAAACTATGTCGAAAATTCGTGTGAAAAAAAAGTGTTTGCAAACATTACAATAATTTCAGGACCTATGGCCAGTCTGGATATGAAAATAGGGACTGTCAAATAGAAAATAGCCCATAAAACATGTAAAAAAAATCATGATGTTCATATAAACCCACTTAAAAGTCATTTTTTGTCATCAGCTGTCTAAAAAGAATTTTATTGCGAAACCACACCCCTAACTGTGTATTGCTACCTTTTTTCCGACCCCCCTTTTATTTTCTGTGTTCTGCTGGCTTAAGGTGGTACCCAACACCTTGACTTATATTAATTTGGCTCGTTTAATTTTCATAAAATTTTGTCAAAATGTTTACTTTGACCCTTTGACAAAAATATAAAAATTTCAAAAAACTTGAACCAACCACTTTATCAGAAAAATTTCATTGGTTATATAGCAGTTTGACAAACACTAATTTTGATCATTGAGAAGCTTAATATTTCCATAACAATACAACGTGATTAAAACGTTTAGCTGATTTTTACAGAGTTATCTCCCTGTAGTGTTAGGTACCACCTTAAATGAGTAAAATAGCCTCTTATTTTTGAAAATTGGTAGAGAAATGAATTTTTATTGAAAAATAGCAGTTGACACTGAAACACGAAAAAACTGAATTAAAGAAAAATGCCAACTGCAAGTCAAAGTGTAAAATCTCATTTCTTTCTCAATTTGTAGTTAAAGATTAAAAACTATACCTCTTGCATCTGTTTTTTAATGTTGAAAATCTTAATAAGACATCTGAGGATGCAAAATTGTACAAAATTAAGCAATTTAAAGCACAAAAATGTTTATTTTTAAGTGTATTGCATACCAAAGCCTCGTCTAAGAGACTTGCTTAAATAAGGACTAAATTTTTCACAGCAAAGACAACTATAGATTTAGCTTATGCCAAATTGTAGGATGAAACTTGGCTAAAAATAATAATTTGTTATATCTGCATGAAAAAAATTTAAAGCTTTTAATACTTAAGGTATTGCATACAGTGCGATCCTTCGGTAACAAGGGTTAAGTCAATAGAGCATAAATATAAGCTTTATGTCAAAATGTCTATTTTTGGTTGCTAATGATAATTAACAATAAAATTTATATGTATGGTCATTCTCAAACACTTTAACCCATCAGAAATTGATTTGAAATCTAAATATTAATAGATTTGGGATATGAATAGTCTTCAATTATGCAATTCTGAGCTTTCTACAGTATGCCACAAGGTAGCAATATACAGTTAGGAAAAAAAATATTAAAATTTACCCTCATAAATTTTACCATCCCCTTTTCTTTGCCTTCTTACAAATTAAGCTTACTGTTTGTGTCATATATGTGCATATGTATGTAATCAGCATCTTCTATAAGATTTGATTTCCAGTAGTTAAAATAGTTAAGTTATTAAAATAGTTAAATATAATTTCTTGTTGGTGTATCCATGGCAACAATCTGCATTTATTTGCTATAAAATATTACAAAAAGGGATGCCAAGATGTCACATATTTCCCCAAAATTTGGCCAAAAGGGGAATTTCAATCCCCTGAAGTTATAATTTTTCTAAAATTATTTACATTTATCTATCAAGAGATTCATAAGTGTTTCTCGTTTCTCGTTTTTTATATAGATTAGACCGTTGGTTTTCCTGTTTGAATGATTTTACACTAGTCATTTTTGGGGCCCTTTATAGCTTGCTGTTTGGTGTGAGCCAAGGCTCCGTGTTGAAGGCCGTACTTTGACCTATAATGGTTTACTTTTACAAATTGTGACTTGGATGGAGAGTTGTCTCATTGGCACTCATACCACATCTTCTTATATCTATTGAATAAAAATCATGTCTTTTTGTCTCATTTTTACGAAAAATTATGTCAAAAAGCTTGTGTGAGAAATCATTATAATAATTTCTGGACCTATGGCCTGTCTGGATATGAAAATACAGATTGTCCTAACAGTATACTTCTATTAGTTTTAGATGAAGGAAATATGCCAGCCCTTTAACATGTTTAAACCTCTAATTTGTCTTTTCAAGTTCATAAAATTATAATTTTATATTAAATGTAGACTGTTTATCATTCTATGATAAAACAATATTCAGTTATTCCAGTCACTAATAAATGACTTACAAGTTACATTCTAAAATTTGCTTTTAATACTTAGTAAGACTCATTCCTCAAATGTTTCTAAAGCGCCTGTATGTATCACTCACAGGTATCTTTATGCATTTTTGTGACTAAGATCTCTTTTTTTGTCAATTGCTGATTATTTTATCTGTTAAATTCAGTTTCTCTCTATCTACTGTTGTTTTTGCCCAAAATTCAAAAAATGGGCAAAAATCATGGATTCAAAAATAACGTTTTAGCAATGTTTACTTATTTGTAGATCTTGTCTTGCTCATTATTTTAGCTGTTTACAGTTTTGCTTTGTCTTTTATTTATAGTTTTTGTATGCAAAAATTGGGTAGAAATCATCATTAATGGGCAATGACACCCTTTAAGAGTCAACTGATATTTTGGCCATGTTGATAAAGCAGATCTTGCTGATCACTTTTGATGTTTACTAGCTTTCTTTACTATTTTTTGGGTCAAAAATACCAAAAAAAGGGGTAACAATAGTGGCACAATGCACAGGCTTGCTTAACTTATCGATTTATTAAAAATTTATGCTGAAAGTCTTAGGAGAAAAAAAAGTTTTACATAAAAATAACATTATCAATAATCCGTGTTTACAAATGAGGTAAAGGTCAGATGAACCTGTTCAGACAGACAATCATCCCACACACCAACTAAAGTAAAAACATTGCTTATAGTATCTGAGAAACAGACCTTACATGTACAAATAAACCAAACTTTGATCAATAAACCATGAAAATGAGGTCAAGGTCAGATGAACTCTGCCCGAGAGACATGTACACCTTGTAATCATTCCATTACACCACATATAGTATTAATCTTTCTATGCAAAAATAAGGTTGTCATAAGTGTTTCTTGTTTCCTGTTTTTTATATAGATTAGACCGTTGGTTTTCCTGTTTTAATGGTTTTACACTAGTCATTTTTGGGGCCCTTTATAGCTTGCTGTTCGGTGTGAGCCAAGGCTCCGTGTTGAAGACCGTACTTTGACCTATAATGGTTTACTTTTATAGATTTTCGACTTGAATGGAGAGTTGTCTCATTGGCACTCATACCACATCTTCTTATATCTATTGACTTACTGATGGATGGTCTTTAAAAAGTTCATATACCAAATACATGTAAAAAATCCTAAAAGTATCTGGTCACTGGTGTAAAACAGATGCAACTTTATAATAAATAAATCATCAAAATTCCAATGATAGAAAAGTGAAAGTAAACTTTTTGATATTCAGACTTCTAGAAAATCAAGAGACCGTTTCTATTTAATTTCCTAAAAAAAAAATCAGGTGATTTTTATGCTGAAATATGGACAAGCCCTGCTTTTTACGCTACTTATTGTTGTGTTTAGAAACGTGACCTATTTATATAAATAACTTGGGAAAGCCGATTCCAAATCAAGTCAAGGTCAACAATGGCTGCAGATGAATGTTGGACGCTGACAAAATATTATGATTATCGTGAGACGTGGACCATACAGCATACACTTTCCTTTACACAACTGTTTGAATGATTAAAATAAGTCGTTGCCGATTTGTTTGATGATGGTATTTTAACGGAAAATCATAACGCGAATATGATTCTTTATCAAGACTTCTCCGCTAAAAAGTTCCGTTTTTGATGAATTCACTTAATTTTTCCATAGATTTACTCAAATTAAATATATATCTTATATGTATAAACAGAAAAAAATACGACAGAACAGTTACTGTAATATGCACTTATCAATGTTTAATCAACAATCGCACACCAGCTCCAGGAAAAGCATCAACATGTCGGGTTACGAAATATCCGAAATGACAACAAAAAAACAAGCACTTTTATTGAAATCAATTTGGGCGGGTGACGGTCGCATGCAATTTCTATAATGTCATAGAGCCGCTCAATCCAGTTCAATCCCAATCTCCCATACAGACAGAGTTGTCGTCCTTTCCTCCTCAAAGATTGAGGAGAAAAGGACGACAACTCTGTCTGTATGGGAGATTGGTTCAATCTGGTAAAGAAAGTGTTAAGAAAGCCTGAAAGGTGAAACACGTACTGTGTGTCAACACTGTATTCATCATCATCATATCATTAATCAACTCAACTTCCTTAATTCACTAGCACTGTGAGATAATGACTTTTGAAAAGATAGCTTTATTACCAATGACTTTCCAAGTTTACTGTTCTTCATTACAGTTTTCTTTTTTCTTTCCTAAAAAAATGCACAAACGAAAGAACCTTACGAGCGGAAATAAATACTAATCCATTCCGTTTTGTTTTGTGACTTCTTTTTCCCGCAACGTTTGAGTTAATAAAATTATATCAAGTAAACCTACACTTTAATTCGCTCTCATTCCTTTAGTTTGAATGTTGTTATACTGGCAGTAGGTGATGTGTTTTAGTGGAGTAAATTAGCTTTTCCTTCGTTTTTTCTATCTTTTGAAGTTCTTTTCAAAATAGTTTGTTCAAACCGGAAATGACATTTGGCGGGAAATGTAAAAAGGAAAACAAGGGAATTTTACAAGGTACTAGTATCATGCTATTAACGTTTAACCTTTCACATTCAAGATTTGTTCAGCTCCTATTAGAGGAGAAGTTATTTGTGAAGATAGTTTCGATGTGTGCATTCTGATGCGTGACGAGTTTCTGTCAAGTTTGACCATGCCCATGGCATTGGATCAAAACATTGAACAGACGTTGGGATCCCCCTTTTTGTGTGTGTTTTAGATGTATGCATACAACCTCTCTAATGTTATGTGTAACTGTCCATTACACAATATTAACAATCATGGACCCTCAAAGCAGGGCTCCCAAAACGGTCTTAATTTCTGGACTTGTCCGGTGAATTATACAAATACAAATACAAATACAAATATTTTATTGGCAGAAACTCATTAACAATAAATGGTTAAGACCTATTGCATACATATAATTATATTAATTGACATGGTAGAATGAAAAGCTACATGATAACATATCATTATAGAATGAAAAGTACATATTGGTGATTCATATTAGTTCACTATTTCTTATATTTAGACACTCTGATATGAAAGAGGAAGACAGTCTTAGTAATAATGCTGAGCTATTGTTAACCAATAGAGATATTTTATCATCAGTGGTAATGTTACACTGTATTTTAAATATAACATTTATTTTATTTTCTAATATTTCTCGTTTTGAGGTAAATCTATTACATTGTAATAAGAAATGTTGTTCATCCTCAATTTCCCCATTTTTACAGACAGGACAGTATCTTTCCTCTCTAGGAATGTTGAGATGTCTTCCCTTTTCAATCATTAAAGAATGTGCATTTATGCGTATTTTGCATATTGCTGCTCTATCATTTACATTGTTTAGTGAATCAACATATGATGGTCTTTGACCCATTTTGTAGACTCAACGAAAGAAACTGAGTTTAGAAGATTCCTGTATGTTTGCATTTTGATTTTGCAAGCACTGATCATAAATTCTTTGTTTTACTTGTCCCAAGTGCTGCTTTGTTCAACAACTTTTTTCTACAAGATATGAATATCCTAATTCTACAAGATATGAATATTATATAAATGACTTCTTGTGCAGATGCTGGAAATTATGGACATTTTAACATAGTACCGAAAAAAAATTAAGTTTATGTGATCTTTTTGACCTGACCTTTTGCCTTAAACAGCCACACATTTCCAATCATATAAGTGACATGATGAATAATTACTATCAACACAAACCCTACTTTAATACCCTCTCATTACAATCAAGGTAAATTAGTTTTCTGACAGCTGAAGTTTACCTGTTCAGGCGACAGGTAAACTATTTTGTCCCGGACATTGATCTGTCTGGTAAAAGTAATTTTCTTAAATTTCAGCGGTTTATATCTAATTAATGAATGTAGGACAGAAAGTCACATAACAAAAAGTCACAGGACAAAAAGTCACAATTCAATTTTGAGATTCTTTTTCTTTAAACAAGAAAGATTCAGATTCAGATTCAATAGTTTATTAAAGTCTCACCACATACATACAAGTATAAACACATTATAATATCAAGTACACAATATAAAAATTTAGAATGCATGTGCCATTCTTAAAAGAACTATGAGAGACTGTTATATACAATTATAAAACAACAGAATTAAAACATAATTTTGTTATTTACACAAAACATAAGAGTGCAATATCACCATGCACATTCAATGATAAAACCTGTTACATGTACATAGAAAACACTAATTTAAAAAATTTTTTTTTGTTTTTTCTTGAACTATTATATACGAAGCAACTTTGTAATTAACATTTATTCAATAAATATCAATAATGATCAAATAATTGTTATAAAACAAAATGTCAAAGTGGCTTGGTACTTAAATGGCTTCATTGTGCCAAGAAATATATCCTTTGCATGATTAAAATTTAATAAATTTTCATTTATCAAGGCTTATGAACAATTTCTTAAACTTAAAAATGAATATATGTAATAAAAAGAAAATATTTCAAGATCTTTCTCTTATATATTCAAACAATTGTCAACAAATTATTTGTGACTTTTTGTCCTGTGGCTTTTTGTCCTATCAAATTTGTGACTTTATGTCCTGTGACTTTTTGTCCTGTGACTTTCTGTCCGTTTACCTAATTAATTTAGTCAACCAGATTTAAATTATCAGAAAATGTAAATAAATAGGATTTGATGAAAATTTAAAAAGGTAGTAATAAAGGTTTTAAGTGAAAAATCGTCAGAACCACATTGCTTTAACTAGTATACTTGTGCGCAGTTGTGAGATTTAATTATGAATCTGAATTTTCAAAAATGCTAAAAATATCATCGATACCTTTATCTTCATTAGTAATGTTCATTTCAAGTATTTTCCTGAAGAAATAACGCGGAAAGAGCTACTTAAACTCAATCGTGCTTTGTAAACGTAGCAGATTTTACGTATCTATCCATGGTCCGTGTTTTACCATTGTCAAGTACTTCAAGGCAACATCTAGTAAGGCGGTATTAGGAAAATTACTTTTTAAAAACGAAAGTAAAGTTATTGACAGAATAATTTTGCACAAATAAAGAGTCTTAAGGCAGATATTTGTACGCTGATGTTGCACACTTGGAATGGTGTACTGTCAATTTAAAAGTTAATGCCAGAACATTGAATTTATATAATAAAATCAAGTTAAATATCATTTTTGTGTCAATCATGATTTATGTGATGCCCAACTGATTTTGACGGCCATTTTCTTGTACATTTATGCTCTTAGTCTTTTGGAGGTACAAGGAGTGTCACAAAGTAAAAGGTTCTAGACTTAAGATACCTTATGTAACTTTAATTTTGGAAAATAAGAGTCGATGCCCTCTGAGGCAACACCATTAATCTTTCATTAATTTGTATAGTTTGTGTATAGAGTTATATTATGCTGTATATTGTCTATTGAATATTTATATTGTGTAAATCCTATCAGCTGTATTTGCTTACGGAAATAAAGTATTATTATTCTACAGTTATTGTAAGATTGTATGGATACATTTCATCATGTATTTATTAGAAACTACATGTATTTATGATCATTTATATGTATCAGACTTGCCTGATGACATGCAGACTGCTAGTTTTTCCACTTAAATTCTACACATTGTTTGCACATGCAGCTTAAGAGGATATTATTTGTGCAAAGTATAGTCTTTTGAAACATGAAATACATTTTTGTACCAAGTACTTTATGTGTGTATGTGTATCTATTTACAAAATGCATCTCCATAAATTCCGCCTTCATTTGAAAAAAAAATGGTGATGTATATTTTTAACAATCATTATTGTGTTTATATGATACTCTTGTTACAAAAGTTAGAAATGGATGCTTATAATGATTTGGTAATTGTAATAAAGGAATTCATTTCAGATTCAACATGGTTGCAGAAAGAAATTCTGTTTTGTCTAAAAAAAGGAAGACAAGTGGTGAACATGGGGAAGAAAAGTTAAAAGGTACAAAATGTAGTACATGTAGCTATATACTAATGATGTATAGTTTATTTCTTATTATTAGAGTGTCTGTAAAACATGTAAAACTAACAAAATACATCCATGGCAGATGATGCATTTGAAGGTTACAAATCCTTTAAAAGAGCTGTGCTAGAAATAGATGTGTTGGGGATCCAAGGAATCCATTGTAACTGTTCCATCATCCTCTGATTCCTTTAGCCATAAATACCTCAGTACCTATAATAATCTATTAAAGTGTCTGCCTCCCCTCTATACTATTACATCATTTCTGAAATAACTCTGAAAAAATACTATCATTTTGATATTCACATACATCATTAAGTTCAATAACATTATAAGATCTGTATATTTTAAGTATGTAAAAAGAGGATTTATCTATGAATTCATCATTTATTACAATTTGCAATATTCATAGATCAAGGTTTGTCTACATGGTATAATTAAGATAGGCTTTGAATTCTTACATGAATATTTTATGCAATTAAGGATTCATAACACATTCGCTTTAACATGTTCTGAAAGTTGACTAGCTGGCGTCCCTCTTGTCATAACAAAATTTTCGTTTAATATGTTTTAGGACAAAAACTTTTATATGAATCATGATAATTCTGCACAAATGTAGTTTGTTGATAATATCTACATAATCTGTATACATTTTATATTTTATCTTAATTTTATATTAAATATCTAGGTGGCCAAAAGAAAAGAAAAGGCAGTGAGGATGAAGATATATACCAAAACAATTCTACTTTTTGTGAATTAGTGAACAAAGCAGGACTTACATTAATGAAGGGAAATAAACCTAATTCACTAGGTAACTACATGTAAAAAAATGTATTGGAAGTTTAATAGGAATAAATTTATCATCATGAAAATACATATGTCTGCAAAGTTCACCAGCAAGATAATCACCTCTTTTATGCAAGTTATAATTATATAAAGTACTGTGAATTCAGGAGACTGATCATAGCAAAAAAATCATTGTTTCTGAATCTCAAATCTGACTGCTAGGGCGTAGGCATAATTGTACTATTCCATTGGTGTTATTTTCAAAAGTAAATACCGTTTAATCTAAAGTACTGTAAATTAATACAATTTTACACATTAACGTTGTAATTGTTGATCAAAGAAAAAAACAGGGGTTCAAATTAGCGGTGGTCCGAGGTCCGCGACCTTCCATTTTTGCAGTCGGACTCTCGTTTTGGTTACAAGCTACGCCCGACGGACCTTCGGTTTGAAAGAAAATAAAAATAAACTTTGCCGACCTTTTTAAACAAAAATTTCCAAACAATCTAAAAATTTATTTTCATCATTATCATTCATGACAGCGATGTTCATTTTGTTCAACCGCTAGCTTTATACCGAAAATTGCCAACTAGTAATGTGTAAATCAGAGTAAAATCGTATCTGACTGACAAAACAACATTGAAAAACATTGGATGCCATAAACCGGAAATGAAGAAAATAACAAAAAGCGGATCCGATTCCGGAGCGGATAAGGGTAATTCCGGGTTTGCCGATCAAATACAATGAAAAAATAATAATTCCAGGCAGTTGACAAAATACATCTATGATGATAAAATATAAACACTAGAATTGAAAACCGAAAGATATATTGAAAAGAAAGAAAAAGTAGGAAATATTTTTTTACAGAAACTCAAAATTACTTTTAGTTCATAAATTTTCATCTCAAAATCCCAAAAAATGTGACAGTAATTTTCTTTATCATTAATAAATATTAATATTACATGTAGATTTTGTATAGTGTAAACGTATTACTACAATTCCAAGAGGTAATGTCTTCTCAATTTTAAAGGACCAGTACAAATCTGGAAGTTTCTTATCTTATTTTCACAGAGGAACTAGTCTAATGCATTATAATAGTGCAACTAGATATGATACACTTAAACCAGAGACATATATACATATGTATATTGTATATACGTGTCTGCTTAAACAGCTTTGAATTTGAACTGTTTTATAAAATGGTATAAGTAGTAATAAATTACCAATAGTTGAGACAACACACCCACCCATGGTGACACCCTCCTCAATAACAAAAAAAAAAGATTATCTGAATTTATAATATACAAGACAATTACAATTGTTATTAAATATTTTATACAACAGTGACTTTGACAATGAAACAAGTTGATCTAACACCAACAGCACATTAATTTTGTTACTTGTATCTTACTATGTTAGGAAATATTTCAAGTAAAAGTAGGACCTGGAATTTAGGTTGTGGACCTTTCAGTTTGGAGTGTCAAAGGTCCTGGACCTTCCAGTACCAAATGTTAATTTGAACCCCTGAAAAAAACAACAGGATTAGACAGTGGGATTTCAAGATATGCTATATAGAATTTATGTGATCAAAATTCTTTAATGCCAGTTCTAATAATTTATATACTGATCCTGTTGCTTATACATTTTAACAACCTCACAAATTTTTCAAATATACAGTACCACACCTTTTAAATTCAAGAAAAAATTTGTATACACACATTCTCAAAAAGTCTCTTACATTTTAGAAATAATAAAAGGCATAATACCTAGGAATCAGTCTTTATGATATTATAAGATACTATGTGATCTATGAATACAGGACTTTTAACTAGTCTTACTTAATGTAGAAATCAATAATGATTCTTCTGAAGCTAAAACCTTAAAGTTTTCTAATGACCAATATAATGTAAATTTCAAATAAACAAAACAGTTTCAGCTGGCAAAACAATCGGTAAATTTGCTATTCATTGTATTTCTGGATATATATGGTAGTTTTGGCTGCTTATAATTGGACTGGAAAAGAAAATGTTTCTTTGAAACAATTTTACCATGATTTTACTTAAAACTCTTGACATGTATAATCATATTTAAAAATTAGAAAACTTTTCTGATAGAACATATTCTCATTGATGAAGCTGCTCATTTTAGAAATGCATTTTTTTCTTGGGTTTTTATTTAGGTGTTGACCAGGCAGTATTTCAGAGAAATCTTCAAGTTTCATTAAAAAGACATGAAAGTTATCCAGAGGTAAACTTCTGGACAGTATTGTAGAAAAATATTTTTACTTCCTGTTTCATGTGTAAAGGAAGTATAAATTCATAACCTGTTGTTCATGTTGACTAATTCAAATAAAAATAATGAAAATTTTCACAAATGAAAGAAAAAGTAAAGGTAAAAATAAGTGTAAACTCATTTTGTGTCATAATGCAATTTCACTAGCAAATTGCTTTAAATACAAATTATTTGAAAATCCAGAACAGTGTGAAAGAGAGGTGAAAGATACCAAAGCGACATTCAAACTCATAAGTGGAAAACAAACTGACAATGTCATGGCAAAAAACAAAAACGACAAAAAGACAAATAACAGTAATCAAAACACAACATAAAAAACTAAAGACTGAGTAACACAAACCCAACCAAAAACGTAGGGTGATCTCAGGTGCTCACGAAGGGATCCTGCTCCACATGTGGTACCAATCGTGTTGCTCATGTAAGTACAAACCTGTTTATAAGTCTAATTTGGTAGGACTCATTCAAGGAAAAGAGTCTGTAACCTGATTTAGGATGATTATGTGTTTGATGATAATAAAATACAAAATAAATTTTGGTGATTCCAGTACAAATTTTAAACAAAGATGCTGTTTTGGTAAAACATGTCAAAATTAAAAGGAATACACATTCTGACATCACATTTTCCTTTTAAGTTAAAATAAAATTGAATATTAATACAATTAATATGTACTGTAAACTTTTTTTCTGTCATTTAAAGGTTTTAGATGAATTTGTGGAAGGATTCCAAGAATATATTGAGGACCAAAAGAGGTATTTAGCATCCTTAGCATCAGAACTTATTATGAATACAGTTTATATCCTTTTTTAGTAGTATAATTACAGATAGCTTAAATTCATCCAATATCAGCAATCTTTGATATTTTACATGGAACTTAAATCAGTTTAGGCAAGCCAAATTTTATTGCATGCAGTAAATATTTTATTTGTTAAAATTTTGGGTTATTAAAAAAAATGTTTTTAAGTGGAAAAACTAGAGACATTGTTGATCTTTTTGTTAGGTGTGAGGACTTCAGCTCAACAGTGAAGACCTTCTTGTAACTATCTAGACTACACTTTGAAGATGAACCCAAGTTTTTGTAAGATGAATCAAGTCATCAAATTATAAAAGTTGAACCTAGTTAACTCAATTCATTTTATTTGATTGATGACTTATTTAGTGAATAAAACCATTAATCTGGCTTTCTATAAAATGAACTCATCATTTCCTAAAAATGAATAGCCAGACTAAGAACATTCAAAATGTCTCATTGACACAATTGTTAGCTTCTAGTATTTCCTTAGAATAATTTTGTTTCACACATTTTCCACATATAATATTTTGTTTTAATTTAATGTGATAAAAATGTAAAGGATGATGGGACTGTTGGGTACCTTTTTCAACAGGATCAAAGAATAATAATGCAGCTATGAACAACTGACTTGCTCTATTTTCATACCATAATGAGATATTCAATAGAAAAGGAGTTAATCTTAAAACTTGTTATTTAATGGAATAGAAGTTCCTTTATAGTATTAGTTCTAAATGGAAGAAATAATCTGGAATATTGTTTCTACTGGAAGAAATATTACAGAATTTGTTCCTGACAGAATATAGGGTTTATAAAATGTGTTTCAATGGGAACAGATATTTTAGCATTATTCATAACAAAGTTTCCAGAGGAACTTCTGTTGGGAGGAACAAATATATATTAACAGTTACACAGTTGTTTTGTCTTGATAATACTGATATTTATTTTCAGATTACACAACAGCCTGGTTCCTACATTTACAGCATCAGAGTGTGACAGGTAAATCTAAACCAACACTGATAATACCACAACTTAAAAAGTCCTCAGGCCGTTCTTAAGTTACCAATGACTTGCTTCAAATATTCAGCAGCTGTATATGTTGTATGGTATTTAATATTTAGTGCATGGCATGATGTATGTGAAATAACGATGGATTGAACTTTAAACCAGACATTGCTACCATCAATTTCAATTTAAAAATGCTCTCCTATTTTTCTACTGTATACTTAGATAAACATCAGTATATATCCAAGTGATTTTAAAGTGGTATTAGACCTTTTTCAGACAGTAGTACTAGCAAGAAACAATAACCTACATGTATATGCTTCATAGTGGAATACATGTGTGTTTTTAAACCCAAGCTGTGTACATGGTATATGGTATCATATAATGCAGTCACCATGTTATTTAAAATTATAAACAACATCAAAAAAATTTTCATTCCTTTTTCATTAGAGCATATTGAAATTTTGATTTGTGATTGTCCACAAATCTAAATACACTTTCAAAGCAGGTGTAAATGAATTTTAATGATTGATTGATTGATTGATTGAATGGTGTTTAATGCCACAAGATTGGAGTCGAGCGCACCTGACTTATGCTGGATTCGAACTCACAACCTCAGTGTGATACAGTAGTTCGACTACTTAGACCACTCGTCCACTGAGGCCCCCTGAATTTTAATGAGAACAGACACTGTAGACCAACAAATTTCATTAGGTGGTTTGTTTACGTAATTTTCTGAAGTAGAAATGGCATGAACAGAAATTGTCACGAAAAAGCCACACTTGGATCCTCTCTTATATGAATTAATATGTTATAATAAAATTTAAAAAAAATAAATAGTATAAAGTCTGCTAATAAGGGCTGAAAAGTATCTCTGAAAAATAGGTTGGTTCACAAAATATATTTTCATTGTTAGTTTTCTTTTGTATTTCTAGTGCAAGAAGTGTTCACCAAGACTGTTTAGTTAGATTACTACTTGGAGTTGATTTAATACAGGTAAATTTATTTAGAAAACATTCATACTATATCGTTAGACTCAAGATGTCAAGGAAGTCAATTATTAAGTTTAAACGAAATAATACATGGTACATGCTGATAAATTGAATTTACAGAAAAGAATTTCAATAATGTCTAAAAGAATTAGATGAATCAGATAAAATAAACCAAACTTGTTATTGTGATGCTATTTAGCAGCATACATGTAAAGCTTATACTTATTTTTTTATTCATGCATTCTAAATATATACACAATCAGATTATCTGTTAATCACATATTTATATTTTACTGTGGATTAATTCAAATTCATGGGATAATATTTTTTTTTCAAGGAAAAAGTAAAACACAAATCTGTTCTGCAAATAAATAGCAATATTCTTTAGAAGGAAATGACAAACATCAAGATTAAACATCATTAAAACTACTTGTCTTGTGCATGAAAAATTATAAACACAATTTATTTAACCTAATGTACACAATGTTTTACCATTTAATAAATGTTATAACTTGATATTTGTTTTTGTGTTTGAAGCATAGCAGAGTCAGCAGTCTCTATTTAAAGATCCCTTGACTCTTCTATGGGAAGTGAAGTTATACACCAATTAATTTTTAGCTCACCGGGGCCGAAGAGCCCCATGTGAGCTTATGCCATCACTTGGCGTCCTTCCTCGTCTGTCGTCGTAAACTATTTAAAAAATCTTCTCCTCTGAAACTACTGGGACAATTACCTTCAAACTTTAACTAAATGCTCCTCAGGGTATCTTGTTTATAAATTGTATCCGAAGTTTGTATCCATCGACAAATATGGCCGCCATGGCTAAAAATAGAACATAAGGGTAAAATGCAGTATTTGGCTAATATCTCAAAAACTAAATCTTTTAGAGCAAATGTGACGAGGTTAAATTGTTTAATTGGTCAAGATCTATCAGCCCTGAAATTTTCAGACGAATCGAACAACCCATTGTTGGGTTGCTGCCACCGAATTGGTAGTTTTAACAAAATTTTGCAGTTTTTTGTTATTATTTTGAATATTATTATAGATATATATAAACTGTAAGCAGCAATAATGTTCAGCAAAGTAAGATCTACAAAAAAGTTAATATGACCATAATTGTCAATTGACCCCTTAAGGAGTTATTGCCCTTTAAAGACAATTTTACACAATTTGTTCATCAAGTTTGCTAACATTTAAAAATCTTCTCCTCTGAAACTACTGGGACAATTACCTTCAAACTTTAACTAAATGCTCCACAGGGTATCTTGTTTATAAATTGTATCCGAAGTTTGTATCCATCGACAAACATGGCCGCCATGGCTAAAAATAGAACATAAGGGTAAAATGCAGTATTTGGCTAATATCTCAAAAACTAAATCTTTTAGAGCAAATGTGACAGGGGTAAAATTGTTTAATTGGTCAAGATCTATCAGCCCTGAAATTATCAGACAAATAGAACAACCCATTGTTGGGTTGCTGCCACCGAATTGGTAGTTTTAACAAAATTTTGCCATTTTTTGTTATTATTTTGAATATTATTATAGATATATATAAACTGTAAGCAGCAATAATGTTCAGCAAAGTAAGATCTACAAAAAAGTTAATATGACCAAAATTGTCAATTGACCCCTTAAGGAGTTATTGCCATTTAAAGACAATTTTACACAATTTGTTCATCAAGTTTGCTAACATTTAAAAATCATCTCCTCTGAAACTACTGGGCCAATTACCTTCAAACTTTAACTAAATGTTCCTCAGGGTATCTAGTTTATAAATTGTATCCGAAGTTTGTATCCATCGATAAACATGGCTGCCATGGCTAAAAATAGAACATAAGGGTAAAATGCAGTATTTGGCTAATATCTCAAAAACTAAATCTTTTAGAACAAATGTGACGAGGTTAAATTGTTTAATTGGTCAAGATCTATCAGCCCTGAAATTTTCAGACGAATCGAACAACCCATTGTTGGGTTGCTGCCACCGAATTGGTAGTTTTAACAAAATTTTGCAGTTTTTTGTTATTATTTTGAATATTATTATAGATATATATAAACTGTAAGCAGCAATAATGTTCAGCAAAGTAAGATCTACAAAAAAGTTAATATTACCAAAATTGTCAATTGACCCCTTAAGGAGTTATTGCCCTTTAAAGACAATTTTACACAATTTGTTCATCAAGTTTGCTAACATTTAAAAATCTTCTCTGAAATACAGGTGAGCGATTCAGGCTCTTAAGAGCCTCTTGTTTATTTTCTCTATAGCTAAAATATTTAACTTTGAACTGTTATTGGGTGTTTTCTATTTTTAGACAAAACTAATGCATTGCTTGTTAGAAAAGTTGGCAGAATTTACAGAAGATGATCAGTAAGTATAACTAATTAGTAGAACTTTGTTATTATTTTGTGAACATATTTTTTTTTTAAATTAAAATTTTTAGCTTGGTTAGGTCCATAAATTAGAAAGCAGGATAAAAAAAAATGTCCTTGCTACTATTAAAAAAGTTGTTAATCAATTAAAAAGAAAATTGTAAAACTTTTTTTTTAAATTCATTTAAATCACTATTCTTTTTGTTTTATACAATTATTTAATTTTTTTTTCAGATCTATATTTGAACATGGGGAGAAAGTAAACATACCAAGATTATTGATGAGTCAGTTCAGATGGCTAGACAGAATTTTGGCAGGAAAGGTACAACATACATTGGCAACCTCCTCTTATGAAACCTTATTGTTATTGATATGTATTGTCCTTCTGTGATAATGTCTTGGCATACTGATTTGTAAAAGCCAGAATGGGACACACAAGATTCATGTCAGAAGTGTGCAATTGTCCTTTACAAAATAAAGAACCCTTGTAAAATAATTTTATTTGGTCTGTTGATACCTAGTTGTAAGGCATTTTTAACTTGATTAATGATACTCTTATTGTCTGTCCAGTTTCTTCCCTTTCCTCTCATTTTTAGAACATACCTATGGTATTATTTTACTTTTTCTCATTCTGTTTATGATCGTGGCATTTTTTGGTGGACACAAAGCAACCCATGGTCATACAGCTACATGTTTTACAGTCAAACATTCCGATCATGTTTTAAAAGTAATACAGTTGCCTGACTGTGAAAAAAGTATATTGTGTGTTACTATAAAAGGCATAAAATAAAACATTGGATATATAATATTAAAAACAAAACAATAATGAAATGAAATAAGTATGATACAAATAACAAATCAAACTTGTTTAGTGCTGCAGGCAAACAAGCTCAGTGTGATCCCTGTTAAATTAATAATACCACTTTATTTTGTTTTTTTTAATGTCACAATCAATTCAAAGTCAAAATGATTTGAATGTCAACAAACATTAAAGTAATTGATTATATTTCAGGAAATTACAGAGAAAATGGTAGAGATGATTGGAATCGTTACACTTGATGTTCAAAGGGAGATAATTTCTTGTTTACCAGAAGTGGTGGAAGATTCAGAACACGGGGATGTAGCCACTGCATTAAGAGATTTACTCTCACACAACACACAGCTGACAGTTTCCATTCTAGATTCCTTGGCTAATCTGAACCTTACTTCTGAATTATTGTCTGAGGTTGAGATAATGTTACTTTAGCAGTTTTTGTATAAAAAAAAAATGCAAACATACGGTACTACAGAATAGCAAAGTACATACATTTAAAGATAAAGGGAGATGTGGTGCAAGGATCCAGAAATATATTCACAAAATTTGGTTATTGTTATTTAGGACATGAAAGTTCAGGAGTCGGTTTCACAAAAAAACTTATGACTAAGATTGATCGCAAGTATACTGAATTGTTCATGACTTAGGATAGTCTTAGTCGTAAGTTTTTTTGTGAAACTGACTCCAGGTTCTTTTTTCAAACTGATAGATTCATACTAGAAGTCACAGCATAAAGAACTTGTATTGACAGTTCCTCAGCATTTACTTCATGAAATTACTCACCTTTTTGTTAAAATAATTGAGAATGATTAATTGAATGCAACACTTAAAATTTAAATGATTTTAATGATAAACAGCTGTAAATTCATCTAGAATTGATAATGCTTCTTTTCTTTTTGAGAAACGAAATAAAAACAAAAAGTTAACCTAAATTATCATTGATTACAGATTCATTTTTGTGGTTTTTTTCTGCTTATCAAATTTTTATTTGATTACCTGCAAAGTTTTTGAATGTGACTGATGATAGTTTCAATCATTTAATTTGTCATTAAATTATTTTACAATTAAGTGTAATAACCTAAACTTTCTAATAGTAGAATTTAGAAAACTTTTAATCATTTTCTATTTTAAGGTGAGAGGAACTGTTTTAAAGACTCTCCATTCTGCAGAGGTAGAAGAACTCCCAGTGATTATAAAGTTTTTATTACAGTCAGTGAATAATCAAGATGCAGTAGAGGTATAAAGTTTATCAATTTAATAGTTAAAAATTTTAAAGACCATTTTGTCAGATTTTAAACACTGTTTTGTTCTCAGGTTTGTTAGTCTTTGTCTTGACACTCAAGGGTACTAAATGTATACCAAGCAATGTATTATGTGTTTTGTTACAAATCTGAAAATGAAAACTTTGATTGGTCAGATTTTTTCTTTTCTTTTTAACTCTGTTATTTGAACTGATGATAGTGTAAATATAGAGTATATTTGAGGATCACATTTTTTTTTTTTTTTTTTTTTTTTTTTTTTTGCTTAATACACAGATGTCATGATTTGTTTCAATTGTGCATCTGCTTTGTAATTTTACAAAATATTAAAAGTATATGATATGATATTAGTTTTAAATATCAGATCCTAGATACACATGTAGCTTAGAAGCGAATATATAAATTATTTAGAAATTATGGTTCCAACTTCCTCAGGAAAAGTTGGCCATGGATGAATTTGGGTATTCTTTTAAGGTTCTTAAAATTTCTACATATTTACACAACCCTGGCTATCAAATGATAGCATTCCCGATGAAGGTAAATCCAGAATAGCACTTCTTTCACACAAAATTTAAAATAGTGTTATTTTCATTCTTCCAAATTTTAGAGTACTACAAAATCTAAATCAACAAAACATATTTGAGCATACATGCAAGTTGATTTATGTTATACTGTACAGTCTGTTGTTTATTTCAAGGTTGTGTCAGAAATACGCTCTAACTTGGATTTTAGTACAACTTTTAGACCTCCAATATCATCTACACCTCACCAGTCTGTTCAAAGGAACAGGGATAAAAGGTAGTTTAATCAGATTGATTATATTCATTATAGAGATGTGGCACCATATCTACTGATAGTTGTAAGTTTCTGTTGGATACATATAGATTTGTTGAAGTTTTGTTTTAAATAGCTGTTTTATTTTATTTCTAATGTTATTTGGATATCTTTCAAGTGTATTTGCTTAAATAATAAAAGTTCTGTCAATCTGAATCGCTTGATATAATGTGTAATCACTTATATAAGTTTTGATATATCCTCTCAAGTAATAGTTAAAAGTTCACACTGCCGTAGTATTATAAGGTTCCTTCAAATTTCACAATTTGCACAGTTTTTCAATGCAATGTGCAGATTTTATGAGCGAATAGAACATACAAAACTTGAATGTATTAAAGATTGCAGAGAATAAGTGGTGATGTGAACAGGGGAGCTGAAGCTTTAACTTTGGATGCCATTAAATCTAGTATTAGATTCCAGAAATGTGTGGCAGAAGCTTGTGTTAAGGTTTGTTAAAAAAACACAGAAACAAATTTATCTTATTAAATCTTCAGATATTTAAAATTTTGGAATACCATAGAATGATATTTTTACATAATGCATTTCAAATATTGCAGAGATAATAGTTATCAATTCTAATTCATGGAAAACTTTTTGGTGTCAAAAAAATCACATATATAATATTTTTACCCCTTTATACAATGAATCTGTTTAAAGCAAATCTTTTGTAAACAGGAAACCTGCCTGAATTTAACTCTTGTTACTGTTGAAAATATATAGAAATTTGTATACTTTTGACCTGTCGAATGCTAAGAAGATTCTGAATGTGCTCCATTTAGACAGGTTTTGCATGAGTTAACAATGCACATGATTTCGCCAACATCCTTGCTAAGTAAATAAGCTTATTTATCATGACATATAATACTGAAAAAATGACTGCTGAATGGAAGGAAATATAGACTTATAGATTATCAATGCTTTTTCAAATGAGAGGGTGTTTATCAGCTGCATCTCATCGACGGGTAACAACTCTGAGATGAGATGTGGCCAAGAAACATCCTCAAGTATGGAAGACCATTGATAATCTGTTTATCGCTATTTTGCCTGTGACTTTGTTGATGTTTACATTATCAACCTAAACCTTTAGTTTCAAAAAAGTAATTTTCTATCTCAAGATGGTAGCATGATATGAAAAATTAACACAAAAAATGATTAAAGGAAAAGTACACCAAATAGCAATAATATAACTTATTAGTGGTTCCAAGACACCAAAGTATAGGTGATGGGTCTATAAAACTTTGTACCAAATACTTTTATTCTTAGAATTTGACAGAACCTAGTCTATTTTCTGCAAGCTTCAAATATTTGGAACCTTTGCAGAGGAATGTGAAGAAAAAAACAATTGTCAATTTAAATTCTAAAAGTAAATTGTCTCATCAGTTGAATTAAAAACTTTTTTAGGCAATAGATGGAGTAAAACAGCCGGGTGATCATAAAGTAATAGACATATTCTTATTGCTGATTCTACACAGTACAAACAGGAAGAAACCTGTGGAAAGTCTGGTCAGAAATAAGATCAGGGCTGGTGGTATAACAGAGGTTCTACTACAAGATATCTTTACAAATCATAATGAGGTAATAAAGACATCTTATAAGATGTAGTCATGATCACAGTATTCCTTATGTTTTAATTTTTGCTATATTCACTGGTCAGCTTTTCTGTTTCACTGTATATTTAAGATGCATAGGAGCTGACCATATTATTAAAGGGGCATTAGCTGTCAAATTCATGTTTCACTAATTCAGCTCAAAATGTCTATCCATATAATAAAACGTCCAAAAGAAACAAATTACAATACATGGACTCATTATAATGAATCCACATTTGATGTATATTTTAGAATAGACACCATCTAATTTAAAACCATCAAGCTGATCTCTGAAAAATTCTGTAGGTCGTAATACCTGATGTAAACATAGATAAAAATACACAGACAAGCATGTGCAATCTAAAATGACGATTTTTCTAGATCTGTTTGTTTTTATGTCATTTATTTAAAAAAAAAAATATAAATCATTGTTTTTCCTGCATTTGAATGATTTTTTGTTGACAGAATCAGTCATTGAAAGGAATCTTCCCGGTGGCTGCCTTGTTTCTCTTTTCTATGGTTACATTCTTTTCTTTTTAATAACTAAACATGCTTAGCTCATGGGTAGCCCATCCCAGTTAAGGGTTAAATTGCAGTTCGCATGGATACAGATTTAAATGAATTGAATTATTGACTTGCAAGCCAATAATACATTATCAATGATTTTGTGCTTATTTTAACAATTGAACCAAAACTGACTGCTTATAGCGAAATATTATTTCACAATTCCGTTTTTATAAATGTTTGAAACAAAAGCAACATCAAATTTTGATTTTTTTTGTCAGCATTATAGCTAATGCCCCTTTAACTCAGTTTTTACCCTGTAATTGTGATTAAGTCTGGTGCCAAAATAACCAAAGTATTTGAATGTCTTGTCTGAACCTGCTTTTTAAATATAGATTCTACCACTGCATTGTATTATATACAATATTTTTCTGCTTACAACAGGTAAATTGTCAAATTATAAACGCTTGCTAATATGAATTTTACTTCTTCTTGCCTTCTATCTCGAATGATCCCGTTTTATCAGTAAATGGAAATTTTATGTTAAGATTGAATTTTTACTGATGATAATAAAAAAATAACTAAAATATAAATTGTCAAAGAATATGAGAAACTAAGAAAACAAAAATGATTTTCAGAATCAAGCGTTGAAATTGTATGAATTAATATGATATATGTTTGTTCACATTAAAATAGTTAATTATACCCCCGCTTTAAGAAAGTGGGAGTATACTGTTTTTCCTCTGTCTGTCCATCCGTCTGTCTGTCCGTTCGTCCCATGAATATTTTTCGTTGCATCTTTCTCAGGAACTACATCATAAGGATTTCTGAAATTTGGTTTCAGGGTTTATATAAGTCAGCTATACCGTGTGATGCATTTTCAGATTCATCACTCAACAACTTCCTGTTTACTGAAATATTTGGGCCGCGGCATCATCAGTGAGCAGTAGCTCGCAGTTTCACTTGTTTAATATTAATTTTGTGTTGAAATAACTGAAATTACAAGTGTTTATTTCATTTTTAGGTGCTAAGAGAGTTTTTCCCCTCCATTTTATCCCTAGCAGAAGTACTGTTGAGATCACCAGAACCAGCAGTGTCGTATATAGCATGTACCCTATACACAAAAGCATTTGTAGCATTTGATTCATTTTGTCAACAGGTAAGTTATAAAAATTGATACTGTTACATTGTCATTTAGAAACTTTAATCTGAGATTACAAACAAATGAACAAGAAATTCTGCCATTGTTAATAAAGGCTACCCTTGCATTTTGTTTCAGTATCAGATTCATTAACTTGAATAACCAGCCTCACAGAGAGCGTGGTATATTTCAATCACCTTGTTTGTTAATATGTCTGTATTAAAGATTCATTACATATTACTCACTTCTCAAAAATGAAGATTTTGTTTGGATTAGACAGGTGATCTGTCTACCTAGGTTAATTTTAAAAAAGAATATCCATTGTATGTCCTGGTTCAAAAGATGGGACAAGTTTCATTCTTTAAAACAAAAAATAAAGGAACATGGTTCGCCTTAGTAAAAAAAAAATTATTAAACTGGTCATTTTTGCTTCTCTGCCAGGCACCAAGTATTCAATTCAGAAAGCATAGACAGGTCAGATTGCAGTCACATTATCATTGTGTTCGGCTGGCATTCTTTTACTTAATGTTAGGTTCTTATAACCTTGTGTATATATATATAGATATAAACAAGTCTAAATTGAAAACAACGTTCAAACCTATGATTACGTTGGATAAAAACCGCAATTTTTATACGTGTGCATGCAAAACAAATTTCTTGGTAGAGGGGTCTAAATACAGCACAAACAACATTTTCCAAAAGACCAAAAAAGTGAAAAAGTATATTTTGACATATATATATATGATATTGTAATGGATGGTGACACTTTAATAAAATTAATTATCTAATCTGTGTTCAGTACAATGTAAAGTACCAATTATTCATTATTAGTACATATCAGTTATTGTTTTTTGGTTTCTTTTAAATTTATGTTTAAATTAAAATCTTTTTACAGGAAATAGTAGGAAACCTGGTGACACATATTGGCAGTGGGTTTGAAAGTGAAATAGACCATTCATTAGATATTCTGTCTGATCTGGTGGAACATTATCTCTCAAAGATGGCACCATTTGCAATATTTGTAAAGGTAAATTATTATAAAAAGACTGCATTAATCTTGACCAAGAGTTAGTGTGAATTTATGTGATCAATTGGCATCCATCATGTGTCACTAATTTTTGAATTTCTCCTGTGATACAACTTTGCCAATTGGAAATGTAATCATTGTGAAACTTCTTATGTGCGTTCTTAAATATTATACTTGATTATGCCATCACCATACCTTCATGGCATCTAGGGGGCCTAGGTGGCCAAGTGGTCTAAGTAGTGGAACTACAGTATCACTAACCTGTCAACACTGAGGTTATGAGTTCGAATCCTGCACATGGCAGGTGCGCTTGACTCCAATCTTCATTGTCTAGGATTATCAGTTTTCCTACCGAAGGTTGATGGTTCTCTCCGGGCACTCCGGTTTTCCTCCACTAATAAAAACTGACCACCATGCAAAAGCACAATAGTGATGAGAGTGGCATTAAACACCAATCAATCAATCAATTATGGCATCTTTACAAGAAGGAAAATAAGAAGATGCCATGGGGGCACTGAAACATTAATATCAGACAAGTATGACAACACCATGAGTGAAATTAAAAGATGAAAAGGAAAAAGAATGGCTCATCAAGAATTAACAAATCCTGTTAAATAATCATGAGTGAAATTAAGTTTCTTCGGAATGGTTTTATGCATTAGAAATACATCATTATTATAATAGTATCTGCATTGTATTTCTAACATAACATGGTTTTGATTGTAGTCTTTGAACATGTTGAATCAAGGCTGTTTTTCAAATATTAAAAAACTTTGATGGTTCATTCTACAGATTTCACTACTAAAAACAGATGTTAATTTCAGGGTGTGTTGGATTACTTAGATAATTTATCAGTAATGCAGATAAGAAAACTTTACTCCATGTTGAGTATCCTGGCTTTCAGAAATCCTAACGATGGTGGAATGATACAGGTAATATAATAAATTAATAGCTAAATTTGTTTTTAAGTTGAATAAGCTAAAATGAAAGTGAATATGCTAAAGTCAAAATAAGAATTATCAATAAATCTTATTAATGTGAAATATCTTTACATATTTTGTGTGTCCATTACTTTTAGCTGATCGAAATCATCTTATGAGACAGTGTATTTCCATCATAAACATTGATAATTTTCTTATTTTATAGGATGATCTTCACATTATTATAAGGAAACAGCTTTCAAACAACAGTCCAAAGTAAGACATGTTACATTGTTATGTATAATCTTGATCACAAATTGTTCTACAGTAGTAATGAAAAATAATATATAGTGTACAGAGATGATTCTATTCTGACCCCTATTTTGCAGATTTTCATTATTGGTAACTCTGAATTGGTCCATTACAATTTCTGATTTTTACCATAAGCTTGAAAGCGAGTACACGGTCCACTTTTTACTAAAAATGACATTTGACTTGATTATGTAGGAAGATTATTTGTACAAATTTTTATGAAAAAATGACATGAATTTTTGTAAAAAATAGATAACAATACAGAAAAGAATGCTGTTTTGGGGTTGTTTTTTTTTTTTTAATCATGAATATTGTATAGAAATGAATGATTTTCAAAATATTTGTAACACAAATTTAAAGCATACTTATGTAAAGAAGAAAGTTCAAATGCTTTTACAAAAATCTGTTTATGTTTTGAAACAAAAAAGTTAGTTATATCTGTCCATAGGATAGGAAATTCAAGAAATCAAACTTTTGAGTAAATGCCTAAATTTCAACCCCATTTATCTCTAAAAGTAGCACATGAAGTTATATATTTTATCACATATTTGAATTGATTAGGTGAAATATAGCTTGAATGTATGTTGGGATCAAAACTGTATTGTATGCCCTTAAATGTGTTTCATTTCTTTACACATTTGTTTTTAAAAAATCTATTTTGGATTGTGCTATAATTATATTTGAAGTGACATTTCAGTTAAAAATTTACTTTTCCTATCATGAATATAAAATCCTGATAAAAATAAATTCCATTTATAACTTCTGTAAGTAAACAATACATTTCAGGAAGAGGAACATAATTTTTGTAAATCATCTTTGCAGGTACAAAAGAATGGGTATTATTGGTGCCATAATGATTGTTAAAAGTATAGCCTATAAAAGGTATTGTAGAAGTGATCCGCAGTTCAAAAAGTGAGACTTCTTTCATTTCATGAAAACTGATTTTCAGACTTTATGTTGTTTAATATATCTCTCTATATTGAGCTGATTTTTGGTTTCTTTTCACAAGAAATATGACAAAAATTGATCGTAAGTTATATTGAATTGTTCATGACTTGAAAGAGTATTTTTCTCTTAAAATTTTTTGTGAAATTGATCGGTGATGTTTACATATAAATAAACAATGTGAACCTGTCACTAAAGAAAAATAAGTATTTGCCATGATTTCACTTGAATGCACTCAGAAAGCTGTGTATTTAAAATTAATATCAATATGGCATATTTTTGCCTGATGAGAGAAATCATGCTTTTCTGAACTGAAGATATAGTTTTCATTATGCCTGTACATATTGATTCTATTTTTGAATAAAAATGTTTAATGACTAAACAGTTGAAATTTAATCAATGTTATTTTTATATATTTTGGCGTTTGAACATGAAATTACACATAGTCTTTTAGATTCTGAAATTAAGAATTAATAAATACTTGATAGTTTATTTCATGTCTGTAAAAGATCATCCTCTGCGAAAATAAAAGTGTTTTTCTGCACTTGTTCCAAGGTTTTGAAAATAAGAATTGCCTTTACACATTAAGATGTTTGTTTATTAGTTTTAATGTTAAGTTGCTTACAGTATATGTACAGTGTATTACAAGATCTATTATTTTGTCAGTAATAATGGACAGTCTGGATTGACAGAGGAATCATACAAGCAGGTTGTAGCCTTACTGAATCTAGTAAGAACCAGTATAAACAGGATACCAGAAGCAGCAGCTCTCTTTATGGATGAACTTGCTAATGTTATACAGAAAGGTTGTCTGGATCCTAAAGTTGAGGTGTGTGTAACACTAGATAATCTTAAAAGTACATGGTGAAGAAAAAATGTGAATGTGAATTTTTTGTTTGTTTACAGAGTAATAAGGTTAGCACATAAGGGACAGATATTTCCTTATTTTAATCAAGTATTGTTCATATGGTATTATTTGGGTTATCTCTAATTGCTGATGGTCTTTTCAGACTAATTAGCGTGAGAAAGTAAGAAACGAAAGAGTACATTTTGAAGTTTATGAATAATAAGTAGAGTAACAACCCCCCTCCCCAAATCAAATGAATTGAAATTGGTTTTGGAAGTAACCAATAATAAATGGAGAACCCTTGGATTTGAATTTTATATTATGTGACAGATTTTTATTTTCACTTTCCATTCCTTAGTTTTAAGTCATTGCTATAAAGTCATATGGAAATTTTGATAAGGATTTAAGAGTATAAAAGCTACAAGGACAAAATGGAGTTTGTGTCTTGGCACAATACTGTAAATAAAACATACGAAATAACAGTTTAAACAAATTTTGCATTGGGAACTTTGATTCTGAGGTCAACTTCTAGTTTTGCATTGTTGTCTTTTTATAGGCCTGGATAGACGAGACTGTAATTTCAGATTTTCAAGGAAATTTTGTATTATATGTGGACGAATCGCCCAAGGATGAGTAAGTATTCATTTATTCTCAAGGTTGTAGCTCTAACTTAAAAAATCATAGAAAGAAATATTTTTGATTATGTTAATGTTTTACGGTCATCGTTACCTTATATTTTTCATGTGCAAAATGATGTTCATTTGAAATTAATTTTAAAACATATTTTAGATCTAATCATTTGGACCGACTTAATTGTTGAAATTTTGTAATGAAAGAATCAGTGCTATAAAATATTCAGACATGAAAATTCATAAAGCTAACCTTTTCTAAAATAAAAGTATGTTGACTACATCATGTATGATGTTATTTCAATGACATATATTTTTAGGTGTTTAACCCCTGGAGAACTACAATATAATCTTGACCCTGAAAGTGAAGAACCTATTGCTATATACATGTCACATCTTGTAGAAAAATCTGTTGCTGATAAAAAGAAAATAGCAAATAAGGATTCCTCCAGTGAAAGGTAACTAAGCTAGACATTGAGAGAAATGTGAAGTTGACTATACGGTATAGGTTTTGCTCATTGTTGAAGGCAGTACGGTGACCTATAGTTGTTAATTTCTGTGTCATTTTTAGCTCACCTGGCCTGAAGGGCCAAGTGAGCTTTTCTTATCACTTGGCGTCCATCGTCGTTAGCTTTTTACAAAAATCTTCTCCTCTGAAACCACTGGGCCAAATTTAACCAAACTTGGCCACAATCATCATTAGGGTATCTAGTTTAAAAAATGTGTCCGATGACCCGCCAACCAACCAAGATGGCCGCCATGGCTAAAAATAGAACATAGGGGTAAAATGTAGATCTTGGCTTATATCTCTGAAACCAAAGCATTTAGAGTAAATTTGACATTGAATAAAACTGATTATCAGGTCAAGATCTAACTGCCCTGAAATTTTCAGACAAATCTGACAACCTGTTGTTGGGTTGCTGCCCCTGAATTGGTAGTTTTAAGGAAATTTTGCAGTTTTTGGTTATTATCTTGAATATTATTATAGATAGAGATAAACTGTAAAACAGCAATAATGTTCAGCAAAGTAAGATCTACAAATAAGTTGTCATGACCAAAATTGTCAGTCAACCCCTTTAGGAGTTATTGCCCTTAATAGTCAATTTTTAACAATTTTTTGTAAATTTTTGTAATCTTTTACAAAAATCTTCTTCTCTGAAACTACTGAGACAAATTTAACCATACTTGGCCATAATCATTATTAGGATATCTAGTTTAAAAAATTTGTCCGATGACCCCCCCTTCCAAACATCATGGCCGAATTGGTTAAAAATAGAACATAGGGGTAAAATGCAGTTTTTGGTTCATATCTCTGAAACTAAAGCATTTAGAGAAAATCTGACAGGTGGCAAAATTGTTCATCAGATTTTGATTTATCTGCCCTGAAATTTTCAGACGAATCCGACAACCTGTTGTTGGGTTGCTACCCCTGAGTTAGTAATTTTACAAAAATTTTGCAGTTTTTTGTTATTAACTTAGATATCATTATAATATCTAATATCTAATACTATTAATTATGATTTTAACCTTATTTTACATGATTTCCAAAGCATCAGTAAATACAGGTGAGCGACACAGGCTCTTGAGAGCCTCTAGTGTTTCTTGTGGAGAGTTGTCTCATTGGCAATCATACCACATCTTCTTATTTTCATATTAGACTAAATAATTTAGAGGTAGATAATTGAATGGATCTTTTAAAGTTGCTTTATAATCATTGAAATGTCTGTGCTCAAAACACAGGTAATACTTTGTACAGTTCACACTTTCTGAGTCTTGAATATCCATCCACGTAAAAAGCATTGAACTGTCTCCAATAAATTTTTTATTTTCATTCTCAACGTGAAATTTTGTTATTTTGGTGTGGAATTGTTTCTAAGCTTAAATACTCAGATAAACACATACATAAGGTTTAGTTTTCACCCAAAACTACTTTTTAAGGAAATAAGGATATATTTTTTTTTACCTGCGTGGTCGAGGGTGAAGCAGGTTTTATTACCGCTCAACTCTCTCTGTCCAAAAGAAAACTTTTGTCACAGTTATTTTGGCTTCTGTAAAAGGGAGTGATTTAATATTTTGTCTGCAGCTTTATAATGTTGAGTTGTAGCGAGTAAGCAAGTTTTACTTTGCATCAGTGAAAGGAAATGATCAGTTATGCTCCAGTATACATGTTACATCAATCAATTGCATACAGTGATGCAGGCCCAGACCCAGTATTGGTCTTGTTTTAAAAACACATATGCTTTATAAGTGTATGTGTGGTTGTTTAGCTCACCTGGCCCAATCACTTGCCGTCCGTCGTCTGTTAACTTTTACAAAAATCTTCTCCTCTGAAACTACAGGGCCAAATTTAATCAAACTTGGCCACAATCATCATTAAGGTATCTAGTTTTAAAAAATGTGTCTGATGACTTATGTATGAAGAGTATTTGTACAAATGTTTATGAAAAATCACTGATGATTATACAGAAAAGAATGCTGTTTTTTGGGTTTTTTTAGCTCACCTGGCCCGAAGGGCCAAGTGAGCTTTTCTCATCACTTGTCGTCCGTCGTCGTTAGCTTTTTACAAAAATCTTCTCCTCTGAAACCACTGGGCCAAATTTAACCAAACTTGGCCACAATCATCATTAGGGTATCTAGTTTAAAAAAATATGTCCGATGACCCCGCCAACCAGCCAAGATGGCCGCCATGGCTAAAAATAGAACATAGGGGTAAAATGTAGATTTTGGTTTATATCTCTGAAACCAAAGCATTTAGAGCAAATCTGACACAAGTAAAATTGTTCATCAGGTCAAGATCTATCTTCCCTGAAATATTCAGACAAATCCGACAACCTGTTGTTGGGTTGCTGCCCCTGAATTGGTAATTTTAAGAAAATTTTTGCAGTTTTTGGTTTTTATCTTCAATATAAATATAGATAGAGATAAACTGTTAACAGCAAGAATGTTCAGTAAAGTAAGATCTGCAAATAAGTCAAAATGACCAAAATTGTCAATTGTCCCCTTCAGGAGTTATTGCCCTTTAAAGTAAATTTTTCACAATTTTTTTCGTTAATATTTGTAATCTTTTACAAAAATCTTCTCTGAAACTACTGGGCCAAATTAAACCAAACTTGGCCACAATCATTATTGGGGTATCTAGTTAAAAAAATGTGTTCGATGACCCCGCCTGCCATCCAACATGGCTGCCATGGCTAAAAATAGAACATGACAAGAGCAAAAATGTTCAGAATGTTAAGCTCTACCAATTGTCCATATACGTCATAAATGTCAGATGACTTCTTACAGGAGTTATTGCCCTTAAATGAAAAATTTTCCATTTGTTTTCATTTTTGCCTATTATCTTGAAAACTATAATAGATACAGAGAAACATTAAACTGCAAAAATGATCAGCAAGGCAAGTTCTCCAAATAAGTTTGCATTGTCGAAATCGTCAGATGACTCCTTATTAGAATTATTGCCCCATTTGATGATGATTTTTACCATTTTTTTTGCGTTTTAACCTTATTCAGAGCTCACACCACTTCAGAATCATAGGTAGAAGTGACTTCTCTTATAGAAACTGAGAGGGAGAAGTGGTGAGATTTGAAAGAGAAGTGCTCGTCCGCTCGCGGCGCTACAATGTTTGGTTTTTACTATGATACAAAGGGCCATATGTATCATTTTTTTTTATAATGTTAAATTTGTACCTGGGTATACAATTAAAGTAACAGTTCAAATTCAACGTTGTTTAATTTTATCATATCTAGTTGCACAATCATATTAGTCCTCTTGTCAGAAAAATACAATTAAATAATAATAAAAAAGATTTTTTTTTATATCATAAAGGAAAAGAAAGTTGTTATATCATTTAAAATTCAATTAAAAACTACTCTGTTATCATGTTTATGAAATTAAGTATTTCTCATTAAAAAGATATATAAATTTGACAGTTTTATTTGACACAGTTAAGCTTGGACATAATATAATTATATTAGTGTAATAGTCCCAGAGTTGAGCAACTTTAATTTATGAATTGAAACAATGAATATACATGGAAATATATACATTAATCAGGTAGATCTAACCAAAAGTATGTTAATGCGTGTGGAATGTGTAATTTTTCCTTTTTTGGATCAAATTTCTTCTGTCAGCTGTGCCATTCATGAGTCTGTAGTCATTATCGTAAGAATCCGGATTTCGGTCATAGCTGGTCCGTTTCTGATGAATCCTGACTCCGATCCGTAGTTGTACAATAATTTGCCCAATTATTTCAATGGCGGACGGAGAAAATTTACAAAAATAAATGATGTTTGACATGCTATTTGGAAAGGAATATGATGTTTTTAATGCAATATATGGATAACAAATTTACTTCAGGCAAATTTCATCACGTTTTAATGAAGTAACAAACTTATTTTGCTGAAAGCTAGAATGATTTGATGTACGCTCTCGAGTAACAAGTACCGAAAGTGATAAAAAAAATTGTCTTTATGAAAATAACATGCAACCAACTTTAAAATCAATGCTTTAACCTCTTTTCTAAAGAAAATAAATCGTTTTTGTCTTTGAATTTCTTTACTTTTAAATGAAAAATTGCTGTTTCATCGACTTGGTAAATATTGAATATTGCCGATGACGAGAGTGACTGAAAGCGAGTATCGTTAACAACAGGGCGACTACATTTCGCTTTTGACGGTCGGGCAAAGCAAAGTGACAGACAGGAAAGCGACTTTGTCGCCCCAGTGGCCTGCTAGCTTGAGCCCTGCTTATATCATAAAAATAATAATAGATAGATGGAAACTTAAATAAGCAAAAATGATCAGCAAGACAAGATCTACAATGAAGACCATGTAGACAAATTTGTCATATGTATCCTTGGAATTATTGCCTTTTAATGACAATTTCTATCATTTTTGGGGGTTTTTTGCCGTACATGATTAAAATTATAATAGATAGACACTTTAAATCACAAAAATGATCAGCAAGGCAAAATCTACTAAGTAGTCTCATTTCGCTGTCAGATATAGGTAGTAGGCTGTCACTTTTTATAGGAGTGATTGCCCAGCCCCTTAAATAAGGATTTTTTTTACCCTCTTTTGTGTTTTGAGCAAAAACTAAAGGAGATAGAGAGAAACTAAACAGACTAAATGATCAGCAATACAAGATCAACAGAACAGAGATTTTTGTCATGAATTCTATCTTCGTCTACAATGTTGAAGAGTGTCCTTTGATGAAGATGCTCATAGACCAAGGTGAGCGAAACAGGCTCTAGCTCTAGTTTTAGATTTATAATCCTTATTAATGTGACAAAAATTTCTCACTTTACACTGTATTTATTTCAGTGGCTTGAGTGATCCATTGTGTCTGTCCCCACACTTCAGACTGTTGTATGTGTGTGAATCTCGACAGCAAGAAGATCTCAGTGATATCAATGCTTTATTAGGTAGGTGTAGCATGATAAATAATTACAATGTAACAACAAAAATAAAATCTCAAGATTTAAAGAGAGATTCATGGTAAGTTGATAAAAAAGATTTAAACTGGAACAACTTAATAAGAGCTGTTCTAGAAAAACATAGAGGACCCAGGAAAGGCAAGTTGAATTTGACATTATGGGTGTTTGCCAGTATGGGTGGGTGTAAAATATGTTGTTGTACATGATTTAATGTATGCAGATCTCAAAAATTGCTATTATGCATGTTTACTCTTTTTTTCAAAGTGCCTTCCCTTGGTATAATTTGTGTTTTAATGGCTTTTAATTGATAGCATAAAGTTATAGAAAGGCACCATGACCGAAGAGAAAAATACAAAGAGACAAACAACAGCTTGCACAACACTACAAGGAAACTAAAATTGAGCAATAAAAACATAACCAAAAAGGGGAGACAAACTCTGGTTCTCTAAAAATGAAAATCTGGTGACAAAAATAAGGAAAACAGGAAGGGATAAAGAATAAATAAGGTGTAAATGTCTTAAGATATATTCATCTTTCTACAAAAAAATGTACATTTGGAAATCAAATAAAAAAGCAGTGTTCCCCAAAAAAAATATTACAAAATGGCAGATTGTGAAACAATTTAACAGGGACAAATTAAAATATTATTGCATTTATTTATTATTTTTGATTTTTGATGAATGGACAATAATGCAAGATTATTTATTTTTATTCTTAGAAATTCTGCATACAGATATATATGTATCAGATATCAGAATGCGAGTTCTTATTAATTAGATACTCACCCTGTTGCATTATTCGTAATTAATAAAAACATCGCAGTTATTTCTGAATTTACAGTAATGAATGTTCTCACTTAATTGAGTAGACTAGCCAGCAAATTAATTTAACTCTATATAGTTGGGTTGAATGTTTTGAATTCTGGTAAGTTTAAGAATTTGATAAAAGTTACAAAACTTATTATTCAATAATCTGTTAAAAAAAATTGTGACATTTTAAATCAAAGAAAGGTAATCATGATTTTGTAGGATGCCCAGTGTTTTTACCAAAACCAGAAGTTTATGAGAAGTTGGAGCCACTATCACAGAAAGAAAAGGAGTTCCTGTGTGACAATTTGTTCCTATCACTCAACTGGTTCAGAGAGGTCATCAATGGTTTTGCCACTCAAACAGACCCAGAAATGAAGGCCAAGGTCATATCAAGATTACATAATATTACAGATCTTCAGAGGTCATTGGAAAAATGTTTGAATGGTAGGTGTTCAGGAAACCAGAATGCTTCAATGCACTTCAAATCTTTTAATTGACATGGGCTTGTATGCAAGAGAACAGCAATCTAAATAAAAACAGTTCCTTAAATTATATTAAAACCATTATGGAAATAAAAAAATTCGAAATTTGAGTGACATTATAATTCCTATTAGATGCATGTACTTAGATGGATTGATGGATATTTAACATCCAGTGGCAAATTAATGCATATTCAGGATAAGAACATGTAAATGTAAATACTTTAACTTGTAAAGGAAAGTATGGGTTAAATCAGCTTTATAGTGTGAAAGCTTGAACTGTACGAAACCCTTCTACTTTATTATACCAAAATGTATGCTCTATTCACACACAAAGAATATGTCCATGAAAAAGATATTGATTATTTACTTGTAATGAAACAGGCATAGAAAAGGAATTTCATGAAAAATATTAAATCTCAACATTCAAACATACATAAATTATCATTTAAGCTTTTCTTATTATCTTTAAAACATTTTTCTTTAGTTCAGCCAAGTTATACCCCTCCACCTGCCCATTTTGATTGGTATGAAGCACCAAAAACTGTCATACAGAATATAGCTACTACAACTGAAGGAAAGAAGAAGAAAACTAAGAAAGCTTCTAAGAAGTAAGTATTTACAACAGTCCGTAATTTGTTCTGTTTTTTATGTCCCTGCTGTGGCGGAGGGACAATTAAGTGTTACCCTTGTTCGTACATACGTCCCAAAATTAGTTTCCGTTCTCTAACTTTAGTTTGCCTCAACCAAATGTTATGAAACTTATTCACAATGCTTATTAACATAAAACACAGATTAAGTTTGAATTTAGGTGGCATCACTTTTACAGTTATCTTACTTGATTGAATTATCACATTAAATGCTTTGATTTTCCTTCATAAAAGTTTTGCAATCTCATTAATTAGATTTCACATTTTTGTCAGTGGTAAAGGATTTGCAATAATAAATGCACTCATTAATTTCTGAATTTACAGTAAAAAAAATCGATACAGAGACTCTCAGATAACTGGGACAGCTGTTAGATGAAATATTTTAAATTGAAAATATTCTGAACAATTTATCTTTTATAGAAAAGCAGATAGTAATGAAACAACCAGAGTTGATGATAGTGATGAAAGCAGTAAAGATTCAACACATATAGAAAAGGTATCATTGTATAATATGATGTTTAATTTGCATGAATAATAGATGTAGGATATATGACAGAAAGATTCAAAATGCTTGACTTTTACTCATAGATTATTCATGGACAAATTGAAATTTCAAAATTGTGTTTCCGAGACTTATGCCTATTAAAATGAGTATTTGAAATTTATTCAATTATTTGTATTGACTATATGCATTTAAGAGAGTATCTGTTGGATGTGAAAGCATTTTACTTGTTTCATTAATTTCTCTTTGCATGACCTTTCTGAAATATGCCAGAATATTTGCAATGATCAGTTAGTTAAATACAGAAGCTCATGATGACTTGCTACAGTTGTGAGGCATGCCACAACCTTGATATTAACCATTATGTTTTTAATGCCCCTGCTACGGCGGAGGGGGCATTAAGTGTTACCCTTGTCCGTCCGTACGTCTCAAAATTAGTTTCCATTCTCTCACTTTAGTTTGCCTCAACCAAATGTTATGAAACTTATTCACAATGCTTATTACCATAAAACACAGATCAAGTTTGAATTCGGGTGGCATCACTTTTACAGTTCTCTAGTTATGTCCCTTTATAAAGTTATTTGCAAGCAGGGGCATCATCTGTGTCCCATGGACACATTCTCTATTTATTTATTTTTCCTTTAGGATTCACAGAATACACAAATAACAGAAAATAAAGATGGAAATAGTACCCCAAAGTCAGGAATTAGTCTACAGAATTACAGACCTTTCTTTAGGTATGATGGAGTTGGTAAATGTATATCTAAAACTTAAATGAAAGAAGTTTTTGAGGAAAGTTTGATTTTGATGATGTATAAACTTAAAACTGAAAATCTTTACAAGCAAGTGATTTTATATTCTATGTTAAGAGTAAATTGCACAAACTCATTTATGGAAGAGAGTTTTTCAATATTGCTATGACGCTTTTACCTGTGTCTTCCTGTTTGCTGATAGTTTGAATTTTACATTACTCATTGTACAAGAAACATTTTTGTCAGACTTTTCTTGCCTTCCATGGAAGGGAATGGTCAATAATGCTGCAGTATACATGTTACCTCAATAAATTGCATGCAGAGACCTAGGTCCAGACCTGGTATTGGTCTTGTTTACCTGGTGATTTAAAAAATTTTGTTCCATGTACGATTTTTGTCCAAAATTTTGAAGAAAAAATTCTAGATTTGTACAGGTACGAATTACATGTAGGTGTAAATTTTGGTTTGTGACAATAAAGTCGTAAGTCTGCAAGTATTACAATACAGTACTGACAGTTATCTTGTTTTACAGGGAAATTAATATGGAAGTCTTTACCATTTTGAATACAGGAATGATTACCGTAGCTGATTTAGACACAGAACAGAATACAAAGGTTAGTTTGATGGAACATCTAATGTTCTCAGTATTATCCACACCTTTTATCATCAGAATTCAAACTGCCAGGAACGAGAGAAGTGTGTTTTCCTAAAAGTTTGTTTGCATTGAGAAAGTAGAGATATCCATATTTCTCCTCTGCTTAATTATTTGTCTTTAATATCATTATAATAATTCAGTGTTATTTTTAAAAGAAATATTTATAATTTAGATAATCAAATAAAAGGGATCTTTACAATTTATTCGTTCTTTTAGTAGCTATCAGTTTTTTGTGCAATGTATATGATCAAGAATGGAATTGAAGATTGATCTTATTTGGTGTATCAGACAGCTTCTATGTCTTTCTTTCAGATTTATAATCCTCAAAATTGCTACCATTAAGATGTATATTTTCAGCTTGCTTTTGATGAAAAACACGATTTATGTATTTGATTTAAGTTGATTTATGGCTACTTTTAAACTTAAAAAAGTATTCTATGGTCCTTTGATTAAACCCTTTTCCATTTTCTGTGACAAATGCATATGGCTCGTAACTAAACAAAGAGATTTATCCAGAATTTCAATGGTCAGAAAGAGGTAATCTACATGTATCACCTACTTGGTTGTATTGGACAAGGTTCTGACAGTTTTTTCACTCATCTGGAATATTTTAAGCAGATAATATGCTTGATAAAAAAATCCCTTCAGAAGAAAGCACACAACACATTATAATAGCTTTCAATCCCCAGATTTCCAGGTGAAATATTGGTTTATAAATTGTGTATTTGCTATTGTTTGACATAATCAAAACTATTAAAAGAATGTGACTCCCCTCCAAAGATTTAGGATATGTTATTTATGTTTTTTTCTTATTTCTTTTCTTAACATATAAAGAAGTTTATTGTTTTTGAGTACTGTTTAGTTGAACTTGTATAAGTAAAGTGCCTTGAAATAGAGAATACAGAAAGTACAACACATAAATGATTTAAGTTTATATTTTTATATTGTAGGCTACAACAGAACTAAGTATTCAGCCACCACAGCTAGAATTCTTGCTGGAAGATTTGGCTTGCAAATTAAGTCACAGTTTGATAGCTTCAGCCTCAAAGAAGAAAACTTTCTTAAAAGTGAGTAATTTTTAAGTGTAACATACATACGACTTAACTTAGATTAATTATAGAAATTACTCCTAAAGGGTAAACAGTTCCTACTCCGCCAGTGTCACCTGTTTTGGTGCTCATGGCAAGTAAACATTTGACGATAAACACATTTGGTAGTATCATCAACAAGGAAAGAGAACATGATTATGTCTATGACAAGTGGAACTGATATGTCTATGACATGTGGAACTGATATGTCTATGACAAGTGGAACTGATCCACAATTATGTCTGTGACAAGTGGAACTGATCCATGATTATGTCTATGACAAGTGGAACTGATCCATGATCATCTGTGACAAGTGGAACTGATTCATGATCATGTCTATGACTAGTGGAACTGATCCATGCTTATGTCTATGACAAGTGGAACTGAACCATGATCATCTGTTACAGGTGGAACTGATTCATGATCATGTCTATGACAAGTGGAACTGATCCATCATTATGTCTATGACAAGTGGAACTGATCCATCATTATGTCTATGACAAGTGGATCCTATCCATGAAAATGTCTATGACAAGTGGAACTGATCCATGATCATCTGTGACAAAGATATACCATGACAGTCAATCAAATACATGATGGAGTGTGTAAAATTTGTGAAGGGATGACTTCAATTTTATAATTAGGAACTTCAGTACTTTTCTTGTAGATAGCAACCTTTTTTCAATGAAAGCATGATATTATTTTTTAGTCATTGTCACCTTAAAGTAAAATTTCACTACCATAGCTCCTCTGATTATAATATGAGGTTTATTTTGAATATTCCTAAGTGAATTTTGTCCTATAACCATGATAACTCAACATTTTTCTGTATGAATTTGAAAATTTCATTTTGATGAGCATGCTTCAATACATAGCTGGAAAAATTTAATAGTTAGGTTTTACTTGGTATGGAATTCAAACACCTATTTAATCAGTGGATTTATAATGTCAAAAAGAAAAGTGTGCTAAACAATTATGAGTTCAATGCCATATGGACACAGATTGTAAAGAAATTCATTTGAAATGTTTTCTTTGAACAGCAAAAGACAGATAAGAATATAGGATTTTCCCACATTGATCAGTTAACTCCAAAGGAAGTAGCCACTAAAGCTGTAAAATTATTACCAGCCTTGTGTAATCACTTAGAAGCTGCTAGTGGATTCTTTCAGGTAAGCTGTTGAATTATTACCAGCCTTGTGTAATCACTTAGAAGCTGCTAGTGGATTCTTTCAGGTAAGCTGTTAAATTATTACCAGCCTTATTTAATCACTTAGAAGCTGCTTGTGGATTCTTTCAGGTAAGCTGTCAAAGTTTTGTATTTTCAACATGTTACTTGGTGTTGAATGTGCCTATTAACCAAAAAAAATGTTTCATGTAAATTCCTTGGTTTTCTTGTGAAAGGGAATGAAAAGAGAAGTCAGGAATTGAAAATATGCTCTTAACCTGAATAAACAAGAAATTAGTAATGTGTCTTGATTAGGTTTAATAAGATGTTATTTCTTCTAAGACAACATATTGTCTTTCTGAAAATCCCCATGTTTTAGCTCACCTGGCTTAAAGGGCACAGGCATTTGTCTCTGAAAAAAAATCCTATATACCTTAATATAACACAAGGTACATAACTTATATAGTCTTATATTTCCAATCAGCTGTTGGTAGACGAAATAATTACAGTTGACATACTTTGGGCAGGCCTGTTACAAATGATTCGGACAACAAAGGTAGGCGTATTGTACACCATTGTGTAGATAAATCAATTTAGATTTACGGCATAATAAGTTTTAGTGGGGTTGACAACCGAAAAATCGAAATATAACGGAATTTCACGACCGGGTGACACTTTTCAAAAATGCGAGTTAAGTACCTTGTGTTATATTAAGGTATATAGGAATTTTTTCAGAGACAAGTGCCTATGTTAAAGGGCTAGTATGAGCTATTTCTTTCATCTATCAGTGGGAGAATATATCCATTATAGAATAATTTTGTTCAATCAATATTTAGAAAACAAAGAAGACAATAAGTGATACTATTAAGATATAATTGTTGTCCAATTGCAGGTAACTGTTTTGACTCTGCTGGGAAGTCATTGACATATACTGTGGATTCTTTAATATTCGTTGGATACCAATTTTCGTGGATTTCGTTGGTACAAGTGAACCACGAAATTAAATGTTCAAAGAATGACAAATTTTCTATAGGCTTGTATGCAGACTTCAGCAAAACCACGAAATTATATATCCATGAACATGCAAGTTTTCCCTAATCCACGAAAATTGGTACCCACGAAAATAAATGAATCCACAGTACCCATTATTGAAATGAAGTACTGCTACTTATTAATTCTACATGTACATGTATGTATTCATCGATAGATCTTATTACTTTTATGGTAATAAAAAAAGTGATAAGATCTACTATCTGCTTACAAATAATAATCTATTACTCCCTGATATTAGAATTAGACAGAACAAAAGTAGTTAATAAATTCTATTAAATAAAATCATAAATCAAGATATTTTACATTTTAAATCTCACAAAAATATACTGTCATATAATATCAACATATCTACATAAGACTTCTTAATAAAGGCTTAACTAAATTTACACTTTGATTTGGGTTTGGGGCAGACTTAGCATTTACTAAATTACTAACATAGTTAAAACTCGATGTACCAGCTGATAAAGCTATCCGAGCTGAAAAACTAGATGTAGTTAACTGGTTGCAACATAGGCTACAACAGCCGCAATAACAATGTCAATAATGCATATGGATATAATGCCCAACTACAAGAGCTGGAAGTGAGGTCAAATGCTACTTAATGTAGGCTGAAATTTTAGAGCCGGAAGACACGTGTGATACAAGAACTGAAAGAGCATTACCTCAAACTGATCTGAATGAAGATTAGCAAAATACGCTAGACAAATGTAGTTTCCCATTCAAACTTTAATGTACATAGCAACAAATAAAAACTTCAGAATTTTGGGGAATTAATGAATTGAAAATTCCCATTACCAGAGGAAATAACCCTTACCATGCGGTATTATTACAGACTCTACCCAAAATACTGTTTTTTGGCTCCAATTGCTCTCCATACTTTAAGAGGTCAGCTGTATGATATGTATTTCAAAATTGATGCATTTTCTCCCAACCTAGGGCTATTTATTGTCATGTTTCTCAGGTTTAAGATGCAGTTTGAGTCCAAATATGAACTTCAAAAATTGAAATCAGATAAAACTGGAGGGTGCCCTATCTTTCTGAGTTTAGCATAAGCAGTACATAGGCCTAAAACCTCCAAAAATAGTTTAAACTTGCTGATTGTATTTATTATCAAAATGCGCATAGGGAACGACTACTTCGGTTGTAGGTGAATACAAAAATCTGGGAATAACGGAAAATTCAGGAAAATCGTGAAGGACTTTCTTTTGACTGTCATACCAAATCCAGTTTCACTCCAACCTAAGCACTTTTGTGGTTAATGTGTTCACTTGGTTCCAATTTACATTCAGTGGGATACATCTATCGTCAACCCTCAGTCTTCCGGGTCAAGAAATAGGATGAAATATCATAAAAATTTACAATTTTCGCACCAGATGACCAACTTTGGGGCATAATAGATATAATTTGCATATCTATGAAAAAATTAGACAACATCCGAAATCAATTTAGCATGGTAAGAGTTAACAAGGCAAACCAAGACTTATATATATAATACTGAATCTGCCCAAAATGCAAGTATGGTTGACAATAGGATAAAGACAAAATACAAATAATGTAATCATAAAATTGATAAAAAAAAAAAACCATCTATATATTGAGAAACACAAAAACACAAAAGCAACAATTATTGTTATGAATGAAACTTATGGAAGAGCTGTGGGGATGGTAGTGGCTGTTTTATACTTTAATATGACAAGACCTTGCAGTAATAATGCAAAACATTAGACATAGACAGAACAAAAGTAGTTAATAAATTCTATTAAATAAAATCATAAATCAAGATATTTTACATTTTAAATCTCACAAAAATATACTGTCATATAATATCAACATATCTACATAAGACTTCTTAATAAAGGCTTAACTAAATTTACACTTTGATTTGGGTTTGGGGCAGACTTAGCATTTACTAAATTACTAACATAGTTAAAACACGATGTACCAGCTGATAAAGCTATCCGAGCTGAAAAACTAGATGTAGTTAACTGGTTGCAACATAGGCTACAACAGCCGCAATAACAATGTCAATAATGCATATGGATATAATGCCCAACTACAAGAGCTGGAAGTGAGGTCAAATGCTACTTAATGTAGGCTGAAATTTTAGAGCCGGAAGACACGTGTGATACAAGAACTGAAAGAGCATTACCTCAAACTGATCTGAATGAAGATTAGCAAAATACGCTAGACAAATGTAGTTTCCCATTCAAACTTTAATGTACATAGCAACAAATAAAAACTTCAGAATTTTGGGGAATTAATGAATTGAAAATTCCCATTACCAGAGGAAATAACCCTTACCATGCGGTATTATTACAGACTCTACCCAAAATACTGTTTTTTGGCTCCAATTGCTCTCCATACTTTAAGAGGTCAGCTGTATGATATGTATTTCAAAATTGATGCATTTTCTCCCAACCTAGGGCTATTTATTGTCATGTTTCTCAGGTTTAAGATGCAGTTTGAGTCCAAATATGAACTTCAAAAATTGAAATCAGATAAAACTGGAGGGTGCCCTATCTTTCTGAGTTTAGCATAAGCAGTACATAGGCCTAAAACCTCCAAAAATAGTTTAAACTTGCTGATTGTATTTATTATCAAAATGTGCATAGGGAACGACTACTTCGGTTGTAGGTGAATCCAAAAATCTGTGAATAACGGAAAATTCAGGAAAATCGTGAAGGACTTTCTTTTGACTGTCATACCAAATCCAGTTTCACTCCAACCTAAGCACTTTTGTGGTTAATGTGTTCACTTGGTTCCAATTTACATTCAGTGGGATACATCTATCGTCAACCCTCAGTCTTCCGGGTCAAGAAATAGGATGAAATATCATAAAAATTTACAATTTTCGCACCAGATGACCAACTTTGGGGCATAATAGATATAATTTGCATATCTATGAAAAAATTAGACAACATCCGAAATCAATTTAGCATGGTAAGAGTTAATAAGGCAAACCAAGACTTATATATATAATACTGAATCTGCCCAAAATGCAAGTATGGTTGACAATAGGATAAAGACAAAATACAAATAATGTAATCATAAAATTGATAAAAAAAAAAAACCCATCTATATATTGAGAAACACAAAAACACAAAAGCAACAATTATTGTTATGAATGAAACTTATGGAAGAGCTGTGGGGATGGTAGTGGCTGTTTTATACTTTAATATGACAAGACCTTGCAGTAATAATGCAAAACAATCAATGATGTCATAATTAAGGTGAAAAGGTCAATGTTAGAGAAAATTTACAATACAGTGAAGCTCAATGTTAAAAAAAAAAAAGTTAAAAAATATACAAAACGTAAATCTCTAAGTAAAAATGTTTTCCCAACGCAAATAGCATGGTTTAGTAGGATTATTGTATTGTAAAAAGTACTACTGGGGTGTTTAATGACCTTGACTACCCATGAGGGTCTTCAATGGTTGGGCTCGTTAAAAGAGTTCTGTTTTATACTTTTATATGACTGAGACCTTTCAGTAACAATTCAAAACTATCAATGATGTCATAATTTATTAACAGCCAATTAAAAGCCTACTAGGCAAAAACTGTATTAACCACCTAAGCTGCAAGTATATATACATGTAGAGTAAAAAGATGTATGTTTGAAATAAATAAATCTGTTTATTTTAAAAATGAATACAATGAAATCAAATTGTCATGGTTTCAATGTTATTTAAACTCCTGATATTTTCATTTCATAAATCTTTGCTTCTGGATTGCTACTGTTATCACAAGTCCCTATGAATAATACCCCTTTATTGTCAATTTCTAAAGACAGTGGATTAGTTATTCCAAATTCTCTATCTATTCTTACATAATGAATGCATTGACCCATGCTATTGAGGACATGTAAAGTATTACACCAATAATCTGTAACAATAACATTATTGACCAATGTTGTTTTCAGATCATGGGGTACAAATTGCTGATGAGAGCTATTGATTGCAGGATTACCTAAATAAATGCTACTAACACCACCCCCCTTATTAAGTTTGACCACCCTTCCATCGTCATGAGAAAACAGATCAATAACAAAAATATCATTATTAATGTCTGTGGTGATTCTGAATGGCAATGTGAAGATTGGTCTTCCTTTATTGTCTAAATAGTATGTCATTTCATGTTCTCCTTCCATATTCATCACTATAACTTTCCTGGGACCATTAGGGGGAAACATTGGTCCATCTTCTCTTGCTCCAACAATGATTTTATTGTTCTTGGAAATATGAAATGCTGAATTAGATAATAAAGGTGCAACTGTGTACTTTGATGATGCTAATTTTCCAGTTTCAGGTTGGAATATACACAGATTCGATTTTTTTAGAGACAAAATCAAATCTGACTTGTTCAGTTGCATACGGCACACCTCACTCAATTTCACATTTTTATTTAATTGTGTTGAACCATCTTTTAGAAGGCTGATATTTTGCATTTCATTTGATGTGAAATTGCTTATCCACAATGATCCATTTGGACAACAAACTATGCATTGTATTAGTGGTAAAGTTGTTCTGTATTGATTTAAAAGTTTGAATTGAGGCTCCTGTGGTATTGGTTGAGCTGGAATATCAACCAAAGTTCCGTAAAATGTTGCAATGGCTTTCTGTTCAATACATCCAGGAACAAATTTTGGAAGACTTTTGTATTTTGTTAGATCTTCCAGGCTTATCTCCGTTGTTTTTGCTATATTTTCTTTTCCTACAATTTTAAAGACCTTTTGTACATTGTTTGAGTCTATAGCATCCAGGAAAATTTTGCTTTCTCAACTCTATAGCTTTGTATTCTTCATTTGTATGGTTTTCATCAGCTTGCATTGATATGGTCATCTTATTTAATCTTGCATCCAGTTTGTTTAAAAGTTTTTCTGACTGTTCATGAACTAATTCATTCAAGACTTTTTCTTGATGCAAAATTCCTTGTTTTTCCTCTGAATATCTAGCCTTTACTTCTGTTTTCAGACTCTGTAGTGTCACCCTTTTTGTTGTTAATTTAGTAAGATTCTCAACTGTACTGTCATGCAAGTCTCTCAGAACTTCCAGAGAATTTTTGAAACCTTCACTTATTTCAATCATGTTGTGTGTATTATGAGCATTGGTAATACACAAAGGGCAGACAACTTCTTCACATTTTGTACAAAATAAGCAGCATATTTTCCCACTATGTCTGTCACATTTAATGTTATTGAAATCATGAATATGTTCCAATTGTCTTTGCTCCAAAGCAATGTTTTTCAAGTCCACAATTTTATGTTCTTCAGTGGATTTGACCTTCTGATGGATTTTCTTGCATTTGTCACACATTAAGAAATTACAAAGTAAACATTTCCACTTGATCTTACTTTCTTCTTCACACATCTGACATGCTAAGACAATCTGTCCTTTCTGGAAAGATTTTGATAAAGCCATTTTCTGTTGATTAATTTCACATTGACTTGTTAAATTAAACTTACAATGGATGTAATCACTTAATTTTTATCCATTGTTAAACTTCCTTGTTTAAAGTATGCACCTTGGTAACTAACCTTGAACTTTAAATTTTTTAAGATATGCTATTGCAAAATGCTTTAAAGGACATTTTCTAAAAATAGAATTGAATATTGAATATTGAAATAGGGTGAAAATGGGGACAGAAGAGCATAAATTGTGTCATTATTTTTCCAGTTTTTGCACAACTGTGAAAATTCTTTGATGCATGTACCATCTTTAATTTAAACTTGATCGTTGGCCATCTGTTATGATTGCATTGTTTTGCCTGCATTTTTTTCATCTTTCCTGAGACCAATTATTTTATTTAATAAATTACCAAGTGTGTGTCATTGATTTTTTGAGACTGGTCTAGATCACACAACTGTTGATTTTTGCACAATAAATCTCTTAATATTGCCCATATGTAGATTAAATGAAGTTGATTCCCTTTGCACATTAACCAACAACAACAACAATTTTTTTTTAAAGAGTTTTACACAGTTAGCTATATAACTTATCTTCACTGAGGCCCTCATCATAGAAAAAGCATCAACAAAAATGCAAACATATACATGGCATACATTAGTATAAAAGCCAAGTATTATGATAATGTTCAATACAACTTGATAAAATGTTATGAAAAAATAAACATGATGAAATAATCAATATTCAATATTTATTCAACTGATTGATTTCAATAACTGATCTGTTATTTTGTATTTGAAAGAATTAACATTTGTAATATTTCTTAATGATATTGGCAAATTATTCCACAAGAATGGTCTAGAATACATAAAAGATTTCTTGAACAATTCTATTTTTGTCGAGCCTTCGACTTTTGTCGAAAAAGCGAGACATAGCGATCCTACATTCCGTCGGCATCCACAAATATTCACTCTGTGGTTAAAGTTTTTGAAATTTTAATAACTTTCTAAAACTATCCTGTATTTCTACCAAACTTGGACACATGCTTGTTTATGATCATAAGATAGTATCCAGAAGTTAATTTTGTAAAAAAAAAAATCCTGTTTTTCCGTATTTTACTTATAAATGGACTTAGTTTTTCTGCCAGGAAACATTACATTCACCCTGTGGTTAAAGTTTTTAAAATTTTAATAACTTTCTCAAACTATCCTGGATTTGTACCAAACATGGCCAGATGCTTGTTTATGATCAAAAGCTAGTATCTAGAAGGAAATTTTTATTAAAATTTTGTACTTGTTTATCCATATTTTACTTATAAATGGACTTAGTTTTTCTTCCAGTTAACATTACATACAGTCTGCAGTTAAATTTTTAAAAATATTTATTAAGATTCATAAACTATCCTGGATTTTTACCAAACTTGGACAGAAGCTGCTTACAATAAAAAAATTGTATCGAGAGGAATATTTTTATTAAATTTTTTCCTCATCTCATTTTTGTTGAGCCTGCGATTAACAGCAAAAGTGGGCGAGACACTGGGTTCCGCGGAACCCTTACGAATTTTTGGTTTAGGCAGTATGAGGTTTCCTTGAACAGCATTTCTCAAGGGGTATGGACTGAAACATAATGAAACTTGCTAGTAAGATATGATGGGGCATCATTGTCGAGCCTTCGACTTTTGTCGAAAAAGCGAGACATAGCGATCCTACATTCCGTCGGCGTCGTCGTCGGCGGCGTCCACAAATATTCACTCTGTGGTTAAAGTTTTTGAAATTTTAATAACTTTCTTAAACTATCCTGGATTTCTACCAAACTTGGACAGAAGCTTGTTTATGGTCATAAGATTATATTCAAAAGTAAATTTTGTAAAAAAAAAATTCCATTTTTTCCGTATTTTACTTATAAGTGGACTTAGTTTTTCTGCCAGTTAACATTACATTCACTCTGTGGTTAAAGTTTTTGAAATTTTAATAACTTTCTTAAACTATCCTGGATTTATACCAAACTTGGAAAGAAGCTTGTTTATGATCATAAGATAGTATCCAGAAGTAAATTTTGTAAAAAAAAAATTCCATTTTTCCGTATTTTACTTATAAATGGACTTAGTTTTTCTGCCAGGAAACATTACATTCACTCTGTGGTTAAAGTTTTTAAAATTTTAATAACTTTCTTAAACTATCCTGGATTTCTACCACACTTGGACAGAAGCTTGTTTATGATCAAAAGCTAGTATCTAGAAGGAAATTTTGATAAAATTTTGTTCCATTTTTTCCGTATTTTACTTATAAATGGACTTAGTTTTTCTTCCAGTCAACATTACATACATTCTGCAGTTTAAGTTTTTAAAACATTTATTAGATTCATAAATTATCCTGGATTTTTACCAAACTTGGACAGAAGCTACTTACAATCAAAACATAGTATAGAGGGGAATATTTTTATTAATTTTTTTCCTCATTTTTGTTGAGCCTGCGATTACCACCAAAAGTAGGCGAGACACTGGGTTCCGTGGAACCCTTACAAATTTTTTTTTATATATAACCAAGTCTAAGAGTAATTAGAATTTATTACGTAATTTACAAAGTCAGAAGGTTTCTAAAGATAATTGGTTCAAAAGTTCAATAAATCGTTTTGGCACTATAACCCTTTCCGTGATCTTGACGAATTCTGATGTTGGCGAATTGTGTCGTTCTTGACTGAGTAATTCGGATGGTAAGTGAATTAATTCCAGCCTACTCACAAGGGGGAGACCTGGCGGAATCTCCTGTTCTAGTCCAAAGCTTGATCTTATATAGTTCAGAGGGGTCATCAGTCAGCTTTCAACAGTAGCCCATAACTGTCGTAAGGTTTATAGAGTAGTCTAGCTATTAAATAATACATGTACTAGGTTAGGCAGTGGACATTGCTATTAACGTCTGCAGAATACATGTACGATAAATGTCTGCAAGGTACAAGGTAGATTGGAATACACCTTGTTAAATATTGTTATTTCACAAATTGTGTTACATAATGCCTTCCATCACAATAAGAACGAAAGTTCGATAAAAATAAGTTAATCATCCTTCTTTTATGCGATTATCATTTCTGTAGTTCCTTGTTAAGTTTTTGGTAACCATCACTACATATATATTTCATAAAATTCAGCAAATTCCAACATCTGGATACATAGAGTTCATAAAATTCCTAAAGTTCAATATCTGGATATATATATATATATATATATATATATATTATAGAGTTCATATAATTCATAAAGTTTAATATTTGGGTATATATAGTTCATAATTTTCCCGTCACCATCATACCGTATATCAGGTTTTTTTTTCGCGATTTCATGACAAAATGGGCAGGTTAAATTTTCACTATGTATAATTTTCGCTGAATGGAAAAATACACGCGAAAATATAACTGTTTAGCATTGTTAAGATCTGAATAACACAAAATTGATTGATCGACAAGGTAATCGATCACAAATAAGTACGAGTCATACAAACGAAAGTACACAATTTAGAGAACTTTTAAGGAATATAAATTATGAACATTGGGGCATGCTAGAAATAGAAATCTGATCAATACAGATATACAAATAACTGTGTAAAAGTGATTTATTTTTATTCTATTTTTTATTGTTTGGGTTAGGACACCTATCAATATAATAGCTCGTCCCTAATTAACATCTGATTGCTGTGTTTTCAATAGGCGTGACACGAATATTTAGCCAATTTAATTATTATGAAAACAGAGATTTTAATTAAGTATGCTCATTCTTGTGATCTGTTGAACAACACAAAAGACTCCATAATTAGCAGTATAATGTATAAAACTTTCAAAATTTGATCAATCTTGGAATATGCAGGGAAATTTACGCTGGGTCAAATTATCGCGTTTCTTTAGCTACTGCAAACAAAGCGAATATTAAACACACACGAAAAAAACCCGATATACGGTAGTATACTGTTCATCAATATCCAGTAAGTGCGCAATTCTTTATACAATTGTTGTTCCATTCTATTTACACAGTTCATATTGTCACTTTTCATTATTTACACGGTTCATCATCTGCTAGTGAATCAGGCCTCAAGGTTGTAAGTTTACAATCTAGTCACATTATGAAGTAGTTGACGTATCTAGCTCTGGGTACATTTTTCTCAAGAGACTAGGGGTGTTGGCCTTCAGTTAAGTTTCGCCCTTGATCAATGGCGCAGAAGGAGACATCTCTCTGGAAGCAGTAACATCTGTCCCAACCAATTGAGTTGACACCATTTTGTACCCATCGTTCGTGGCATTAGAACCAAAACTTACACCTTTCTTATTGGCTAAACAAGATTTATTTCTGATATACATACAGATCAAAAATATGGCTATTCCAATGAAGATCACACTTTAATCTTGGCCCACGGATAAACCTACTCCCTAATCTGGAAATTCAATATCGTTTTCAATTCCCCTAAAATTTCTTAGCTTTTCAATTAGAGCTTCCATGGGAATTTGTTTAATCGCCTTAAATTCACTTGGTTTTTCAAGCCTAGCAAAATGTGAAAAATTTCTATGTCTGAATTAATACACTCTTAAATATTGAATTATCTGGCAAGAACAAAAAAGGGGAAAAAATGTTGTATACAACTTCTCAAAACAAGAAATGTTTTTTTTTATACAAGACTTAATATATACATTTATATTTATTTTTTTTTATTTACTTTAAAACTTCAGCAACCTATTGCCTATCCTTTTTATACATTTCATATGACTGAATGTATATGCTTAGATTTTATTGTCTCGCCTTGACGGAGTCAAAAAGCGAGACATAGGTATGCTGTTTCCAGTGTCGGCAGCGACGGTATCAACAATGTATTAGTTTGTGATTAGGTCTAGTTCATGGTGAACCAATAGTGGTAGGTCAATGATATTTGGTATGCAGTTGTATTAGCATTGGCACATCTCATTACCTGGGAGATTATTTGGCCCCGCCCCCTCAGTCAAGGTCTATTGACTTTGAAACTTTTCATAGTTTACATGTATTAGTTTGTGATTAGGTCAATTTATGGGGACCCACTGGTGGTAGGTCAATGATATTTGGTATGCAGTTGTATTAGCATTGGCACATC